GTATACTAACACAAGATCAAATACCCACAACTTCTATAGTATTCGTTCCGCGTAGACCAAAGGCAAAGCAGAACACGATATTTGATCGTCCAAATTACGAGATATATTTCGGGACCAAATCGGAGTGCAAGATGATCGCTTAGCTGGCTAGGGATCGTGCACTAATGAACGTGACACGATGGCGTACCAGATGGCGCGGATGCTTGACCGGAAGCCTTCAGCTAGACAAGTCTAAATAAACAGTGAGGGTTAGCATCCAGTGTTCATTGATGGGTACTGTGGTTAACCCTTTTGAGGAATCATATACCGCCACAAGTGTAAGAATTTTCTCTTGAGAAAATGAATTTGCCGCGTTTCTTTTTATTCTGAACGATGTAGTTTCGGTCAGAAAACGTACTTACAGAAGTGTCCTTCTGTGTTAACGGTATTATGTATACATGTCACTTTCTGTTTAAATCCAATTAGACCGTCTTTCATACTGACAACAAATACTCAAAATCTGGCCTAGTTTCAGACACTTGATGATCAAAATGAAGTTTTAGTAAAGAGCAGATTTTTCTCATTTCACCTAAGTGTAGCAACCATGTGTAGCTCCTGAAAGAAAACTTAACAAATCCAAGTGAAAGCGGACTTCAAACCGATATGACCAGTGATGTACACCAAAACAGAGTCCTCAGAGTACTATGTAAGAGTGTTTTAGTGTATGGATAAACATATGTCCATAGTCCTACGTAATTCTTTGTTACTTAGTTGATATCTGTGTGTTGATTAACAAAAATCTACTTACAAAGAAATCAACTTTTCACTACTGAATATCACTTCACTGTTCATAAGTGAATAGCTTCCAGATCCATTCTCCTATAATTCTGCAGAGAGGTCCTGCTAGATAAAGTCTGTGTAGTAGGATGTGAAGAGTAGTAACGAAGTATGACAGCGGACGATAGTGGTGCTGACAAAATATAATTCTCTTCATTTCTTTGCATTCCGAGGGTAACAAAGGGCTTCAGTCTTGAGCTGTGAAGTTTCAATAGTCGTAGTAGTATTTATTATATACTGGGTGAAAAGTTGACCTCACGTCCAACCCTAAATTTTTACTTGGATTACTACTGACTATTCCAGGTTTAGTTGTGAGTTGACCACATGCGTTCGTGGTGAGTGTTTTACCACTGAATCTCCGACGCAAAAACTGACAAACTCCGGTATTCCGAGCTGGACGCCCATGTAAGTAATAACAGCTTTCAACATCATTTAACTTTAGTGATCAGATGGGAACCCATGTTTACAACATGATATGGCCGTTGACACTACAAAATCAATGGTTATTATAATACGAGGTATTTTCTGAATGCTGACGTTCTTATTACAGGAGTCATCATCTATACTTCAGTTCTATCGAAGGATGTCGAAGATGAGTAATGCTGAACAGTCTCAATAATATTATTAATGATTACTGACAACATCTGTAGTAATATCAGTTACATACAGAAAATTCCTCCCACGAAAGAACTTTATGCAGACACTTGTTACGAAGTACTTCATTAATAACTTTTAACTGCTAAGAACTGTTCACATTTTGTCAGAATTTAATACCAATAGGAATGAACAGTGAATATCTAAGCCGTTCTGAACTTCGCTAGTTATTCATTTTCCTTTTTCATTCATAACACGAAAAAATAAAGTCTCAATGAAAGTACATAAATGTGCACTAGTAACTATCTGAAGTAAAAAAACACGCTCAGTATTCATTTTCTTCTATTCTGCAACAACAATAAGCCTCATGGTTAGAAAACACAATCATCAATGCAGGTCACTAATAAAAGGGAAAAGAATAATAATAATTACAATTATTACCATTATCATTATGATTATTATCATTCTACACTTTAATTCTCAAGACTCTTTTAAGAAATCACTCTTTTAAAAAACCTCAACAAGAAACATCACTGCCAATCAATATTAGTTGTTAAAAAAGGAAAGAAAACTTCTAAAAATTGGCCAGTTTTAATAGGTAATTTTAAACAAACCAACCTAAATCTTATTAGAATAAATTGTCAATACCCCAGTTTTTTTTTAAAAAAAAAAGGGATAATACATTGGGTGAGATAAGTAGATAGATAGAGACAAGAAGTTAAACAGAAGTACTTTTTGAGGTAAAAATAAATGATGTCAGGTTCATGTTGATATGGCAACATGCTAACTTACAAGGAAAAATTAGATAGAAGATTAAAATGGGATATAGGTGTTGCATCATGAGATAACAACTGCCTTTATCAATTTATCCAGTACAAACTTGTCACGCGATTGGTTGGCTGTATTTATGTGAATGAAATATTTGTAGGTGTTACAATGACCAATCAACCTTTACTGCGTAATATTGGTCAACTAATTTAAAGGCCCCCATTTCTAGTTACCTTAAATTATCCATATAAATACCATATTACTACTTATAACTCTTTTAAGTAGTGTATTGATTATCTCTATTAAAATTTGTAGGGATAATTTTAGTGATGGAATAAATATAAATATTTGACACCATAATTGATGGCGTTCCCTTCTGAACACCTCGATTTCAGTTTGAACAACTTCTGAAATGAAACACCTTCGAATTTTGAAATTATTTGAATATATTTTTGTCTCTATTTAGAACCACTAGGTTAATGTTGAAGAGAGGTGAATTTTCTTATCAACAAATTTACTGTTGAACTTAATTTACGATATAGCTAACTGTGGAATTATTATTATTCTAAAGGGAGTATAAATTCTCGAAGATATACCTCGACTGCACTAGGTTGTCTAGAGTCACTTCACATGGCTCCACGCCTGCCCAACAGCTTTCTTTTTAAATTGATCGTATCTAGGTTGCCCTCAAATGCCAAAATCGTCTCATTTCATTCGAAATCCGATTAAGAGCGTAGAGTGTAATGTCCCTCAACAGTCTGCTCAGTGTAACTCCGATCCATCCCTATTTATTTCAGAATATTTACTGAGCAATAAGTTCTCAATTGATTTGTCCCCATAATTTTCTCGTTGCTTATCCTCTCACGCAGCTGTCGATCAAAGTCTACAGTAGACTGTTCGAAATGCTTACGGTGACACATGCATCAAGTCTCTCAACTATGTACAAGCAGTGACTTGACACTAGTGTTGAAGATCCGGATCTCGTCCCTTATTCCGAGTGAAGCAGATTTCCACACTGATTTCAAAGTAATGAAGGTCTGTCTTGATTTTCTAATCCTGAATTTGACATCTTCATCTGTTCCGCCTGTAGTTGAAACAATTCTTCCTGGCCAGATGAGTGAAGGAAGTGACCTCTTTCATATTTCTTCCGTTGATAGTGACTGGTGATTGTTGTTGTTGGTTGGTTATCTGCATCACTTCTATCTTATTTATATTCACTTGAAGTCCCATTATGGTAGCCTATTCTGACTTGTTAATTTTCGCCTTGTAAATCTTCCAGTTTGTGTGAAGTTCTTGTGTAGAAGTTTTATCTGAGTTCCAACTACCCCTGTGGTCAGTATTACTTACACTAGTCATATGAGGAAATTAACAAGTATAATATCTCGTAACTCTTAGACGTCAGTGAATACCATAGATTAACTTGGTGTAATCGCTGTCAGTACAATATATGTATTATTCTAAAATTTAGTTACTATAAAGAATCAGAGGACTCAAGGGGCAGGAAACTTTAAAAGAATTAAAATTCGTGCGTATTTATACTCATCATTAAGATACATTAATAATTTTAAGCTAACTGACACATTTCCTAAAGATGCCCTACTGATTAGTGACAACAAGTGTAAGACAGAAGACTCCTGAAAATAACCCCTAGATATCAGTTTATTGATAGATAAGTAGTTTATCAAGTAAACTAACCACATTTTATGTTCCTTAGCTTGTCTGTTCATAGAATATTTGTTCTGATGGGATACATGTGTGACTGATTTAGAGTCACTGATCCTAATGCCATTACTACACAAATGTTAATCTGTTCGTCTATACTTACTTGAGAAATTCTCATCATCCGCATCACTAGGACAAGCATTATAGCCTTAGAACTATTATGTTTCAGAATTCTCATGATTGTTCCAAAAATATTTATAGTGATCTCGCTACAAACATGCGTATAGTATAGACTAGTAGTGAATCAAACATTTCATAAATTGCCCTAGTATTCATTTCATGTTAGTGAGCAGTGGAATTTAGGACCCGCGTTCCATCTCATAAAAGACTTTTCATTTGAGCGTGCCTGCATTTTCAGGCAGTAGCTGAATTTTTAACTGGGCTCGAACTCAGCGTTGATGTCTCCAAACTCTAAAACTTTATCGACCAGGCTACTGGGCCATGACAGCGACCTCCATTATAGTGGATATGGTTTGAAATTATTGACGCATCCTTGAGATTTCCCGTTGATATGTCTAGACCAAAGTCCTATTTCGGCATATGCGCCAATTAAACAATGTTTCAAGACGACTATGATTTGCAACTTAAAATTATTTGTTTCTTAGTTGAATTCTGCTAACTTTAGGTTGGTAATCGTGGTTATTTTGACTCTTCCGTTCAGGAGTCCAGACGCCAATATGTGGTTTCAGTATTTCAGGTCTTCAAATAAAAATACTATAATATACTTCAAATTTTAATTGTGTGCTTTACAAATAATTACTTTCAAGTAAATAATTTATTATATTTCATTCTCTTTACATATACCTATGTGTTGAAAGAAGAGATGAATACTGTTAATGATGATATTAGTTGAGGTGTTTTTATTCCTCTGTACATAAAATAAATAAGTTTTCGTGCTGTAAAACATTTTAATAATTTGGGCATAAATAATTATGAAAAAGACAGAGAGTTCTGAATACACTGGACAACTCTAAGACGCACACACATACACTCACTTAAAGCATATTTACAACCATGGATACAAATGGGGGGAGAAAATTAAAAGCATTCTAATGATGAACATCTCTGCGTGCTTGTTTAGTGTTAAATGTTCAAACAGTTCACGCTAATGCGATAAGAGTAACAGTCCCACTTGAACATCCAGCACTGACATATCGACCATCAAGTGCTGTATCGATTGTTTGTACTACAGAATCTGTTGGAATTCTTACGATCGGCTATTTGAAGAACAGAATAAAAACAAAAGGATAACTAGTATAAAATACTAAACAAACAAATTTTTTAAAAGTACTATGAACATAAACATGCCAGTGTGGTTGTATTCTCTACGCAGGGTGATTTAGTTGAGAGGCAGTCACTGTCCTTTTAGGAAAGATCTTCAGCACAGTTTTCATTCTGAAGTGAACTTACATTCTCCAAGAGTGATATAATTTTACCTCCTGTCGTTATTGGGTGTTAATTTGTATCAATATTCATTGTTTTTATTTACCTGGAATTTGATTATATTTTTGTTGTATACCTTACTCTTTATCAGTTGATAGATTTGATCTATGATGTTGTGTTTATAGAAATTTCTTATTATTTTCGATATTTCCACTGCCTAAAACTTCCACATCATCTCAGTCAAATCGGTATCTATAGTTGTCTATATGCATTGATATGCAAAAATACAGATTGTGTCTTTCGATAGCTAGTTCATGTTCTTGGACCCTAAGGGGTAGCCCGCTCTAACCAGTATAGTGCTTATCACAGCTCATGTAATTTATTTTATAGATGGCATTGGTCTTGTCTCCTCTTCCCGTTGGATATTTTGGTCTGCATAATATTGAGTGAAGTGAATATGTTGGTCTGTGTGCAATATACATTCCGAATGGTTGTTTCCGAAACATTCTTTATTTATAGTTAAATCAATTTCCCTGTGGTTCATGTGGATTTTTTCTTGCTGGCAGTTTGATTCTAGGTTAGATATATCGATTAAACTATCAGGGTATCCTTAAATCAAAAACAGTTCATAGATATTTCCCATCCATTCTCCTTAAAACTGGAGTTCTGCAGTGTGTTTCAGCCTTTTTGAATAATATTTCTACTTAATTTACTTCATGTACTCTTATTGCTGTTGTAATCGAGGATTTGGTCTATGTAAGTTGATTTCCTGTGTTCGTTCGTTTGAATTAGACATTTAAGAAAGAAATTTTATTATCTGATCACCTTTTATGAAATTAATATCTTCAAAAATGTTATTGATTAATTAGTGAGTACTTTTTAGATCATTTCTTCTAATTATGCCTTCGTTATATATTAAAGATACAATGGCCAGAATGAATCAGCAGCAAGAAACTCTGCCAACCAATTGCTCAGCGAAAAGGAGAAAATGGAGATTGATCAAGCATACGCTGAGGAGGCCGTCGAATTACATCGCGGGCAGTGCAGGCCATCGCTCGAGTACAATCCTAAAAGAAGCGACGAGTGGGTCGTCCGAGGGTGACATGGAGGAGATCGTTTAAAGAGAATGAGTTGAGAGATTATGGGCAGTTGTGTACCCAGCTAAAGAGAACAGCAGAAAATAGAACAAAGTGGGAATGTCCTGTTGAGGCCCTATTTACCACTGGGAATTCAAGGGAATAATAATGACAAACGTGCCATCTACGTAATGTACCCAGGTTTTCGGCTTTATTATTAGCGTAGTATTGTTTTCCAGGCTTTGCATAGTAGTTCGAGATATGAATGACCGCATTGGTGTTCCGTTTATCTGTTCATATATTTGGAAACTGGGTTGAAAATAAGTATTATCACACAAATCTATGAACTTCATCCTGGAACTACTACCGAGAAGATCAAATAACAACATAGTAGAAGGCAGAATGAATAGTTAAGAACCACTCACAGAGAAAATGAGTGCCAGCCAGTCAGACCGAAATGATCTAAACAATAGAGGGCAGTTTCGCTCGTTTGGAAAAAGGCATTTCACTAGTGTAACTGGTTAGAGTCAGCTTAGAAAGTCGAATGATTTGAAACCATCCACATTCTAGCTAGCTCTTGGGACAAACGGATAACAAGCAGCATTAAACTCGTCATTTGCAAATTACACAATCCATATGACAACATTTCTTGCAACTAACTCATATCAGTAAGTAGAATACCCCGGCTTGCTGCAGCGCTTGCTTTATTCATTGCCATGTAGGACACTGGACAGATCTCATATACTGTGCTCTGAATATTTTTGTTTTTCAAGGAAAACCCTGATCATATTTCACCTAGAACTCTGTGATTTTCAAGTGAGAAATTATCTTCGAACTGTAGTGTACTACTTTTACATGGCAAGTAACAGTAATAAAAAAATAACAGGAGAAAGTGAAATGAAACGATTGAATATAACAATTCAAGTAGTTGTAATTCTGAAATTAAAACAAAAAGAAGGTGCTAGCGTCATATAGTATTGATTCATCTGGCTTATAAATTCTTGCCAACTGTATAAAACCCTTGAACTAAGTTCTACTTAACCTTATAGTCCTATTGAATTTGAAAACATAGTCAGAATAATTCTGATAGATCTAGGTTATCTGCGTGCTAACACTTAACAGAAATCTGCATCTGCAGCCCTGAGTGTACTCACTAGTGTTACGATGGCAGAATCAATATCAAAATCAGAAACCTTACTGTTAAACTTTACTTGAACAGACTAACTACCTTCAGAACTGGATAATGCATGTAAGTTGACTGTTATATGCCATTTAAACCCATGTGCATTAATCATAGTGTGAAGATTAAGGGTTGTACACCATTGATATAAGTAAAAGATTTGGGCACTGTGGTAGAGTCAAACTTCTACACAAGAACTTCACACAAACTGGAAGATTTACAAGGCGAAAATTAACAAGTCAGAATAGGCTACCATAATGGGACTTCAAGTGAATATAAATAAGATAGAAGTGATGCAGATAACCAACCAACAACAACAATCACCAGTCACTATCAACGGAAGAAATATGAAAGAGGTCACTTCCTTCACTCATCTGGCCAGGAAGAATTGTTTCAACTACAGGCGGAACAGATGAAGATGTCAAATTCAGGATTAGAAAATCAAGACAGACCTTCATTACTTTGAAATCAGTGTGGAAATCTGCTTCACTCGGAATAAGGGACGAGATCCGGATCTTCAACACTAGTGTCAAGTCACTGTTTGTACATAGTTGAGAGACTTGATGCATGTGTCACCGTAAGCATTTCGAACAGTCTACTGTAGACTTTGATCGACAGCTGCGTGAGAGGATAAGCAACGAGAAAATTATGGCGACAAATCAATTGAGAACTTATTGCTCAATGAATATTCTGAAATAAATGGAAATGGCTCAGACATACGTTAAAGAGACCACTCAGTGACGTTGCGCCCCAAGTCATCTCTTGAATGGAATGTGAATAAGGAACGGTTAGTTGAGCATCTGAGGGTGACATGAAGGAGATCGAGTGAGGAGGAGCCTATGGGAAGTCGTGGAGTCAGCTAAGAAAGAATGAAAAGAACAGGACAAAATGGCGATGTGCTGATGAGGCCCTATTTTGCACTCCGAACTCAAGGGAATAATATATCACAAAGTGAAATAGTATCATTTACTTCATTACTTTTCGAACACAGTTCACTGTTCATAATCACATCAAATATAATCACACGACTTCAAAACTTGAGTTTTTTTGTTCTCTTTATTCCCCCCATTCATCGTAGAGGTAGTAGAATTTTCCAGATGTCTGGGACAGATGTAGAATCATTCCTACTGCGTCCATTTTCATCTGATTCGACAAATAAAGCTTTTTTATCAATCTACCTGTCAACCCTGGTATATTAGACTTAAAGACTGTCAATTCCACCCTATCCAATTTATAGGGTTGTTTGAAGCTGTATGTAGTGCCATAGCTGAGCTAAGGCAAGAAATCTAGAATATAGCTCAGCTATAACATTGAATGCAATTACATGCAACCATGCAGTAGGATGAGGCAAAATGAAATATCTAATGCACAAATTTATATAGCACTACATTGTATCTTGTTACAATAAATATTAGTTTTGGCCTTATTTGTCTTGTATCTCCTCATTATTATGAAATGGACAGAACTTAATTGGTCGAAATTGGTAATAATATTGATCTTGTGTGAATAAAATTATCACAAGTGTTAAAAATTCATTTTAAAGAGAACTATTTAGCAGTTGACTATGTACAAACAAAAGAACAACAAGTGAATATATATTCTAGAGTGTATAATACAAGCTGAGAGGAGATACTGGTCATAAAAATCGATAAGATGAATCAGTATCATAGATTGTTCAAGCATGAATTAAAGTTAACAGATGAGCCTAGATAATAAAAGTAGATTTTTTATCGAATGAAATCAGGAAATATTACAAACTATAGTCACTTTGTTATCGTTCTGAAATCATCGCTATTTAACAGTGATGAATGCTTCACAGTTTTATTCCAGAAATTCGAGATTTTCTTATCATTGTGAAGGGTTATAGGTCATATCACTAAGGTAATGTAACCACAATTATTCGTTGCGACCCTAGTCATGGCTTCTGTGCCTACTAAACAACATGCTCGACACTAACACAGAATTTTTTCACAGATTTCAGTCATCATTCTATCGTACTTTAGCTAACATTTCCAACCCCATCAATAAACTGGCCTGTATCAAACAGTTCTCTTAGTTCAGTTGAAGTCTTTTCATATCTGTTACTTTCAACTACTGTGATGCCCAGTCATAAATTTGGATAGAATCAGCCACCGAATATGACACTTTCCTTCTAAGCGAATCTTAGATATCTGGCTAAAATTAGGAATCTCACAAAGATTGTAAACTACATGAGATAGACGGTTTAGTGGGTAGACTGCTCAGACCCCTACTCGGAATCCCACAGTTAACTTAGGTACACTATTAACTTGTGTCAGTATTTCGAAAACAAAACAAAATTCAGTTACTTTCCCCCATTGTTATAAAAGACGCTAATGAAAAGTGAACTTTTTTCCTCATTAATAAAGCAAACATGAAATTTAATTATCCACAAATGCGCATAAATAAAAATAAAAGAACTTAAGAAAAAAACAATAATACTAATAATAATCTAGCTAAATGTTTGTACAGATTTCCTACTTTTCCCTTATTTGTTATATATAAATTTGTGCAAATAAACTAATTGTTTACTTTTTTCGGTTTTAAGCAAAAAAGCCGTTGTTCTAGAAACTTGACTTTTAGAGCTCGAGGATATTTGCAAATGGCGATGAATAAATCTACAGTGAACACTACTAATAGTTCGATAATGAGACACCTAGCCAGAATAGGCCATAAAGCCAGCACTAACCAGTCTGTTTCTATCGTCTACCAAGTACCGAAAAACCTGCCAAAGGCCTCTAGGTACTGAGTACTCCCCAAATATTGGAAGCCATAGCAGACTGAGTAAAGCAAAATGAATGCTGAGAACAAAAGAAACAGGCTCAGCTACTACTGTTACCTTAGGCTGTTATGGAATCTAAAAATTCATGAATAATGTACTATTCATCTTAATTTGTTCGTTATATAGTTTAGTATCATACCTATGCACAGTATCACATACACACATGATTTTATGAAATGTAATCTACTAATTTTAATGACTCAATGTTATTTAAAAAACATATTAGTTAATGACAATAATTCTCTAAATACTATGCATATATAACTGTAGACCTTGTTAGGAGGAAGGTGTAGAGGAAGAATATTTATTCTCTGTTCACTAATCAGTGTTTTGAAATTTGTATCTAGAAGTCAACAATATCAGTGAACTAGAATACAAGATGAAATAAGAAGGTAAACAGAAAAAGAGGAAAACAGAAAGAACTAGAATGATGAATACAAAGATATTCAAAACAAGTTTGGATTTATTGATGTGAAAAAGTCGGGCATTTGGTCAGATTTGTTTCACTGTGTGCAATATCAAAGAAACTTACCTAATCTAAGAACTATATTCTATAAAAAAGATTAAATTCTACTCTAACGTTATATCAGCTAGTGTCAGTCCCGAAAAGACAGCCAGTCAGTGAATGGTAAGAAAAAAAAGGCAACCTGCCTTCTGAATTTCAGTATCATATGCCTAATTCATCAAACAATAAATAAAACATGTAGACTGCAATATTGTTGAAACAACCAAAATAACTTATCAGTCGAATAAATTATTCATGACTTTACTGGAACTGAATAAAAGACTCAGTTCTTTATCACATGCTGACCTTTCAGGTTATAAAACTGACTAGATAAGATTTAGAAATAAACTCTGCTTATAGAGGACATTCAAACATCTACTATGATGTTACTATCGTTTCTGGATTAAATTCATGCATTTAGGATTTGTGAACTGGTATATGATGGCTTTTTTGAATAACCACAAAACACTGATTATTGTCTACGTGTCCATTTGATAATCATGAACTTTTCATTTATAAAAATGTAAAACGTTCAAAAAACTTCTTGTCACATTTCATAAAAATCGATCGACGCCACTACTATAAACATTTTAGCACTTTGTAGGCACTTTAAGAGTATATCTGAGATTTATTCAAATTTCATGTATTTGAAGTTGGTAGGTCGATGGAGTTAAGGATAATAGTCTCGCTCTTTTCGGGACTCACCGTCTGACATAACTACACTTCTGTCAGTAGTAGCCTTATCGTGAATAGAAATCAGCAGCCAACATTTCATATTCCACAGTGTCAGTAGGGAAACTCTTAGACAAGCTGATGACTTTTTCATAGAGTTGAAATCACATTCTAGACAAGCAGAATTAGGTGTGAGCTACTTCCATGTTTAAAAGACGAAATTTAAACATCTCGGTATTACTAAGTTATCCTAAAGTTTTTTTGTTATACTGATGTCTCCAACTCCAGGTCTGAGCACCAGAGACTTCTTGGAGAGTTGTTCGAAGTTCTTTACTAAGTTCTACGAAACCTTCGAGAGGTGTATGAATAAACTATTGATGAACAAAGAGAATGCTTCGTAAAATTCACGGCTTGAAAGGTTATGTATGAATTCAAAAGAAAGGCATGCAATCTTTCTCTAACTCAGCCATTGAAGGGTCACTTTTTAATTCTGATTGTCTTTTGGTTAGTTTACTCTTTTTCCCTTCATTATTCATTTTTCTTAAATTCTCTGGTCGGAGTATTATGCAATACCCTTACATTCTCCTTCGATATTCGTTCCTCGACTCCGACTTTTGATCGAAATTCCACATGTAAATTTTATTGTTTGAATTATGTGTTTAGAAATGTATAGCAATGAAAATGAGTAACACTGGTAAGATAAATAGCTGCAAACTATAATTTTAATTACCTTTTCTTTTTTAGATGACAGTGACATGGTACCGTATCATAAGTCTGCATACTAATCCTCACAGGTAAAGCAACTCGACTGTTGAGTATGAAAACAATTTAAGCAGAGTTCAAGTAATCCTTTCAACGAGTCTGGTCTACGTCTTTACATCTTGGCATCCATTATCCTGAATTATAAAAATTGCTGGGGTCAGATTACAGATGTACCACCAGCATTATTTTTTACATGTAACCTAATTTCAGTTACTGTTTTCATGACAATTGCTCACTTCATTCTTACTTGCATCAAAAGGTATTTCAATTGATATATGAGTACTGTATCTCCACTCCTTTGCGATCTGAGTGGAACATAGGGCTCCAGACTTGAAGTCTTGCAGTTTCAGTAGCTGTGCTATTTTTCCTGTGAAGTGGGAATGCTAAGTTCACCCCCGAAAATTCCATCTTTCCCAGACTTTTTCTCATCTACTAAACTATGTAAGATCTAGGAATGCGTCGGCTTGGAATCGGAAGCCGAACCACGTTGTATTCTACCACTGAACCACCGACGTGACATAGAGGATTATCTTTCTCCTTTCTCTAACTACATTTTGCATACAATATTTATTTATAAGAAACACTTAGAAGCTGTGATAGGACGTAATCTTATACAATAATTGGGAGGCCTGTGGATGATTTATTGCATGAAAATTAATACACTCAGTGAAACCGTCTTTAATGAATTACCATAAAAGAAATAATCCCAGTAAAATGTGTGAAATGATTATTCTGTGTCGGCCTATTAGCTTCAAGTGCGAACTTTTCGATGATGTTAACGCCATTTTAAAGTCGAAAATGAATTCATCTCTCACTAGAAACCACATAAATTTATCAGTCTATAAAATCAATGCATTGCTTATAATGCATTGACTTTATGGAGTATACTCCGTACAATATTGTTCACAAAGTGTTAAGTAACCTGTTATCCAGCACGTTTTGAACATCATTGTTTTTGTAGAAAGTCCCATGTTCAGTGGAGCCACCACATATGGATAGCAGAGCTTACATGCAGAGTTTTAGGAAAGACAGACAAGCTAAATAATGAAACTGTAGACCATTGCAGTTTGAAGTGGACAAAACGTTTATTATAAACCTACTTTAACTCAGCAAACTATCTTAGTCTAAGGAAATTTAGTTTGTAAGAAGGTGGAAAGCAGCCAAACCAAGAGATAGAGTAATTTCTGTTCAGGGTAGTATCACTATAGCTTTTCTCCTCTGGCCAATTTACCGACAAGACCAACTTTTATCTAAAGCTCATGCAAAGAACTAATTTACAGACCTTGTAAGGTGTACTATTATCATACCTCATTTTCAAACTCTTCAAACTTTAGCATAGAACACCATCAAAATAAGATCATATCAGTGGAGTTATCAATAACCTTCGACAGTATTAAACAAATACATCCAAAAGTGGAAATTCATGATCTTAGGGATGACTAACCACATCTTCAGAGTATATTTGAGCAATGTATTTGACACATTTACAGTATTCAAAACATAATAAATAGAAATTACATGTAATCTATCTAAATCAGAATCCGCTATGTTAGATTACAACGCAAAAATGATGGTAGTCAAAACACATCTGGAACTGAAGTTATCAGATCTGATAACATATATATGTACTTAAATTAGAAGTCAGACTACTAAACTATATTATTCAAATAAAGAAACGAATGATATTAAAGTGAATTTATCATCTAACAACAATTATGCTCAAGAAGTGATTCAGATGATTTTGACAGGAGTAACAACTGCTGTCCAGCTACGAAGGGATTCCAAGATACTACAGTGCTGTTATCTAAAGAAAGTGATTCACACACCATATGTAGGATTTTCAATGAAAAGGGGATTAATACAGCTTATAAGTCAACAGATTCACACAAAAGAACATTTTTAGGGCAAAACGATGTGTTTACTCAGTTAAACGAAACAACGTACTCTGCCAAGTATATACATGAGAGTAGTTAATTAGGGTGAGCTTGTCACAGCTTAAGAATCTAGCTTAATTTAAGATAAACAATCTGGAAGAATTTAGCAATGGTTCCTGATACACTAAAACATACACAATCAGTGGAGAAGAACTACTGTCCAAAAGTCTGACATCATAAAGCGAAGGGGGGATAGATTGATTAGAGAATTTTCATTCATCAAATCAACATGTGAGATGAAAAAGACTCGATAAGTATGGCACGGAGATCGGTGACAATATTTTATGTACTTATGATACAACCCAGAAATATTTAAAACAATTAGTCCCTTCGATAAATTTGAATAAGGCAATAAGGCATTGTTAACCATGTTAGTTGTAAGGCGGTTGTAAAGAAACTATGAAATGATATCATCTCGCGAAATTTGTCTTCTTAATGCCAGAAATATTTGCCATTTACTGTTAACCCACTAAGTGATGCTTTCTACATTCAACTGAAGACTGATTAGTCATAATGTCAGTGAATGCAGACATCCACAGGAGTCCAGATAAATACACCTGATGAACCTAAGGTAGGATGAAACGCGCTCCCTGGGTTTACCCGATTTCTGTCAATGAATAAACGATCTGATGCAATGTTTTCAGAAAACGAAGAAAAAAATATGAAATTACACAGGTAAAACTTCGTCATATTATCATCAACTGACAAACAGGATTAACTTACTAAGTGAGTATCTCTCCCAATGACTCTTATTTGTCGGAAACCTGAACCGCCAGCTACAACAGCGCGACATGGAAGAAATCTTGCAGCATACAAATATTCACCAGAGTCTCCCATTCCATGCTCACCCCAAACTGACCCAGACATTGGTAGTACTTCAGCTGGTCCTTCTTGAGGATTTCGACAAGACAGAGGAGGATTTGACTTAGAGTAGTCGCCAATATCCATCAAACTGGAAGGATTGTTTGAGTGTAAATGAAAGGTTTTTGCTTTCCCAGTGGATGATGTCAACACACGAAAATCCCATATCTATTAGAAACAATAATACTGATAATGCAAAAATGAGCCAGAGGATATTTCGCTGATGACAGATGCTAAGAATTCATTAAGCTTCACAATTGATAGCGCCCATGCGCAAACAATAGCTGTAACCTGGGGAAAACTGATGTTCGTCCTATAATTAAAACCTATTCCAGTCAGTATTTAGGTTATAAATAACCCTTGTAGGAATGAAGTATATACACAAATCAATCAGCAGAATGTTGTTTATGCAAGTATTGTATTCAAAGATTCATTTCGGTGAAGTTAACCAAACTACACTTTTTCTAGTTCATTTTGCATTCAGCATGGTCATCATCTTGATGCGCTTAGGAACAACTGTTACACCAGTTACTGAAAACTGCAGTTAGATTCAATCATCTCTCGCCATTTTAAGCAATATGACGGAGACTGGAACTATTTTGTGAGCAATTCCAAAGACGCATTACCATTTGAATAGATTTGTCATTAAGATTCTGAAAACAGAAGCTCATGTGCAGAAAAAGCTAGGAAATCTGTCGGCCTTCTTGTGCGACTTCAGTAACTTAAGTGTCACACACATTTCTTGTTAGTTGCTATATTTTGATTTCTGATCGGAAATACTTGTAGAGCTTTCTCAAGCCCTTTTTACACAATTCACAAATATACAGACATATTTTTCCGCTTCAACCTTAACCAGTAGTGTTCTTTGTGTTGAAATGCCTGGCCATTAATTCTCAAAATCCACGTAGAAACAAGGAAAACTGTTATGGTGCCATTACTGGATGGTGTATTCATTTTTCATGCATTAAATTTTCGCAAACTGTTGGTATGTGTGCATCTTTATTGCAACAATGTGTTATGTATACCATATTACTACTTGCATTACTATTTGTCTGTCGGTGTGAAATTGCTAGTAAGGAACTATGTGAAAAGGCGCATATTTCTTCGCTCGAATTATTATCTCTCTTTTTGTGTATAAAAGTTAAAAAAGAGGGAAATTTCATTTAATGTCTTTTCAATGACTTCATGAGTTTGCTCCCTACACTAAATACTCCCCTTTAATCATTAAATCAAGTCGTATGGTATCACAATATGAAGATTAATAGAAATACTTTTATTAAAGCTGTTAGCATTAAATAGCGAAACGTCAGTAAAACCAATATCGTTTTGCTTTTCATTCATTGGGAAATACAAAAACCTTTATTATAAAGCAATACCTTTATTTGGAAAAAGTGTTGAACACTGTTTGCCGAATTAAAGAATATCAAGTTGATTTGTTGACAGAAGTAAAATATTCTAATGGCGAACTAGCTAGCTGAAGAAGTGTACATTAACAATCAGGGGTATGATTATAGCTAGTCAAATGAAGTAAATAACTACCTAAATAGATAGTCACCCAGACAAACAACACTTTTGAATATCATCGAACTTTGAACTTGTAATTGTGATGAACTATTCGCCCTCGTTGAATTCATTATCATCAGTTTAGTTACTGAATCAGCAACAGGGATCTCTGGCACTGAGCGAACCAATCAGGAACCGATTGTGAAACAAATAGGCAGAAAGAAATGGAGATGGATTGGCCATACGCTGAGGAAACCATCAAGTGACATCACTAGACAAGCCCTTGAGTGGAACCCGAAAGGGAGGCGGCGAGTTGGTCGTCCAAGGGTGACTTGGAGGAGGTCATGCGAGGAGGAGATGAAAGCATGTGGACAGAACTGGAGCAGGGTGAAAAAGTTGTCAGAAAACCGAAGGCAATGGAGGTGCGCAGCTGAAGCCCTATGTTCCTCTAGGAACTAAAGGATACAATAATAATAATAATAATCAGTTTAAAACCCACCGCTCTTAGAAACTGATCTTTGTCTACTCTATTCTTAGGGGCTGAAAGATCAACAGCATCATAGGTGCATTCTACTGAAGCGTCACAAAACAAAACATCTACCAAGTACTTTCTCGTGCACAGTGTCCGTAGAGTCCACGGTCACGTTCTACAAACAGTCTCGTCAACTGGATGTAACTACAGTCCCCGGTGAGTAATTTTGTTCCCATTCAGACTCGGACCCAGTATTCTTCGCTTCAAACTCCAGGCCAGTATTCACTAGGCCACTTAGGCTACGAGAGCCACCTTTTGCGCAATGGGTATCAGTTTTTATTAGTCTTAGTCGATTTTGATAAGTTGCCAACTACTCAACGGGAAAATCAATACTGACTTAAACAAATAATATTTATCATCTTGCTACTTTGTAATCACTCTCCTTTTTATTTTTTCTTGAAATCATTATTCTGAATTTCCAGCCAATTGGTCTGTGTTGATACATCGGCTTCAATGATGCTTTAAGGTTAACATAATAGCTGGCACTGAAATCTCAGAAGCGCATTTGCGCTTCACTGCCCTAGCAGATAACAATTCGGTATTTGAAACGATGGGGAATAGTGTCATCTACTGAGGATGAATTTACACCAGGCTGACGAACCCTATGTAGGACAAATCACACGACCTGGATTTCAATGCAAACGAAAACCATCAACCAAATATTATGTTTCACATTAGATGAAAACAAAAGAGGTAAATATGCTAACGACAGTAAATAATGTATTCATATTCCGAATGTGAAAGTTTATTACTATCAACGTTTACCTCAACAATATGTGTGTGAATTCATAGATTTGTTAATGATTTATATTGTTTACATAGAAAGAACATAGTGATACCATCAGTCTCTTAAAACCTCTATGAGATATACATCAGTGACACACTAATTTAAAATTTGATAGGGCAAAATAGATTTCATATTAATTTCGACGTGTATTCGAAATAATTTACCTCAAGACTTTGTTTTCCTCTCCAAGAAGCTGTTAACAAGTAATTATCATGTATGTCTAATCCATCAGGACTGGCAATATGCGGTCCGTAAATCTGAAATACTGGGCCAGTTTGCTGTCTTGTATCCCATATCTAAGTGATCAACGGAAAAAAAGTCCACTGAGAAATGCAAATAATGAATTCGAATAGCTACATTCACCATAAAAGATTATTTTTTATTTACTTGAGGTGATTTACGCGATTATTGCTTTACGGATAGTGAGACTATCTGGGATGATCTTAGACTGGCAGACTAGAATTGAAATAATGAGTAACTATTAAAGGTGGAACGCAAGTCCGGGTCAGGGTAGGATTAGCTCCATAAGCCGCCAAAATACTATTTCACAGCTGTTCTTGTAAACTGTCATTTTCCTATCTTACTGTTTAGAAGTAACAATCATTTAGCTGTAAAGCACATCATTCTGTTTTTCTAATGTGAATATTTCTGTAAAGCATTTTGCAACACAAAAGAAAACTTTTAACGTAATAGGATTCAACCTGATGGCTTGCCAATTATCATTTTGATACCGTAGTAAGTGGGCTGTAAGAAGTTACTGGTAGTTCACAAAGCATCACACAAGCGATTTTGAGGACGTATGTTCGAATATCATGTAAACTAGAGCTTAGTTTCATCCTCAATTATTATGCGTTATAAGAATATCACCGTGTCACTCTAAAAATATTTCGGATAACCAATAAGTGTAATGTATTTTTGCGTTGACAACTGACTGTATTTATGAACTCATAGGTTTTAGGTACGTGAAAGAATGGTGTATGTGTATTGTCTTTATTCAACTGTTATCTCATAACTGTGGTGTGTATAAGAGTCCAGTAAGGATAATGCCAAATAATAATACATATGAGTTATTTTATAGTAAAAACGTGAAAGCAGCGCATGTATGTACCAGAAAAGCATCTAATCATAAGGTGATATTTGGATTTACAACGCTGTGTAACTTGATATATGTAGTCTAAACAACCAAGTACATATTTATATATTTATTTCTTGCCACATATTTCTTATTCCTCCCAGATCCTTAAGAACTCCTGATGCTTTGATTCAATATTGTGGCTGCCGAATTATCGGTCCTGTGATCTACCCACTGTGCCACGGGATCCAGATGACAATAAAGGCTTAATTACACCTTATTAATTGAATATTTCGCACAAGTTAAGTGAGTAGCATATAACTGTTTAGTCATCACTATCAACCTAGATGTCAGTAAGATTTTCTTCTTCCAGCTGTAATGCTGCTAGACTAGAAAGGAGTAGTGAATGGCTGGCTACCCATCAGAATATTCCAGATGGTTTAATAGGCTAAAATTAAGCACCTGTTAGCAAATGAATTTTGAAGTTCACTTGATGATGCACTGATTATTTAATACAGTAGAGTCGTGTCCGAGTCCTGATGTGACTTTAGCTTTTGCTTTAAACTTCAAAACTATCCCCTTAGAACAGTTCAGTCTTTTGCACCAAAACTGCACAAAATAGTTTAAACAGTTAAGATACACACAAAATACGTTATTTTTTGTATATGAAGGGGGAATATGAAATGACCAATGAAGCTAATGAATAAACTGGATATAAATAAATATGTTATGAAAACAGACCTAAATACAACATAGATTTTCGGCTTGATGTTCGTTAGTTTCTAACTAAGGTATTTTGCACAGTGTACTATAAGAGATTCAAATGAGAAATCACAATTACAATTATTCAGTTTTATCCAGCCTTTCCCCAAGAAACAATTCGAAATACCCCGAATATCTTAACTGGAATACTTTCCATACTCTATGTGTCTTAGAGTAACAGTCAGCCACCACATTCATAGGTTAGATATCTCAGTCTAACTATTTGTCGACTATGCGCAATTTAATTATAATTCCAACAGAAGTGTTCTCTTGTTGAGAAATGCAGTAACTTGTTATTCACAACATACTTCGAAGGGAGTTAATTAGCTGGAAACTAACAATTACATAGACTGACTTTAGCATTATTCACTCTGCAGTCCCATCAAACATAAGCAACAAACTGTAACCTTCTCGATATATATGTTATAGGTGGATGACCATGTCAATTCAGTTTGCATAGGAATGTATGATTGGTAATAATGTAGTGAAATTGCTAAAATCGATAGATATTACGTCACCTGAGAGTGCTTCAAACTAAGAAAAAGAGAAAATAAAAAGCAGCAGCCATAACAAAAGACAGTAAAACGACTATAAAGGTAGAAATTATATGGTGAAAAATAACATTAAGAAAATATACACTTTAAGTAGTATCACTAACTAACTGGTCACAATTACAACAATTATACAAAAGAATAAGGAATTCATGTGAATAAAATAGAGAGAAGAAAGTTAATACAAAATGGAAAATAAATTTAGCTCTTATATAGTTCATTATTCAGAGAAAATATAGCGATAGAAAGTGTGGTAAATAGCATGAAGAACTGATAAAAAAAACCTGATTGTATTGTAGGTCTCCCCCACACCAAACTGAATAAACTAAACAAACATTTCTCAGCAAAGTAATACATTCTTCTTTCGAAAGTGTTTAGTTGTGAAACTCTTTCTTGAATCACAGTTGAAATGTCAAAATTTAGGTAGCAGGAGAAAACTGATGAATCGTGTGAATTACTGAAGAAGATTCCCCAACACAATGAAGAAAGAAACAATCACTGAAGTGCGAAAATGCCCATGGAGCAATGAAGAATATAAAAGACAGTTTAGCGAAAGCAATCTTCCTTATAGACAAAGTCATCTTCAAAGGCAGTGTAGTTGTATTTATAATTGCTAAAGACTTCTAGTAGTCTATTAGTGAGTACAAGGGGAGTGTGACGTATTTAATATAATTACTCTGAAGTAGTTTCTTAAGATTAAAATGAAACTGAGTAATAGTCAATAACACAACAGAAGTAAGAGACCAAAATTTGATAAGGTGAAAATTGTTAGTAGCTGAGAAGTAAGGTGTTGACTATCTATCTGCCAAGTTTGGAGAAGGAAAGAAAAAACCTAGTAAAGTGCACATAGGGAACAAGTAAGAATGATAATACCGAATTTGTAGTAAGACTGGTATAGTGTAGATAACCAAGAGTACTATCAGTACCTTACAAAGTGCCCACTAAAAATAGAACTAAATAAGTAGTAAAGGGTTTAAGACTGGAATAGAATAAGAGGCTGACCAAACCTTTTCTGCGTACAAAGTCCGAGATTATATGGACGAGTCAGCACCGCCTCCGCCAGTTACAAGTGTTGAAAACTAACACCCCTTGCACCATTTGGTCTTACGTTGTGGATATTTTTAAGAGAAGACTTCGATGGAGCTGCGTGAACTGAGATTACAAGGTGCTCCAGAATCCAGTACGTAACTGACTTGAACTGTCATCCTGATAAACATACCGCACAATGCTTAGAGATGTGTTTGGAAAGTGTGAGCTTTCTACGGACAACATAATTAGCGTCACAGGAGCAAGTGAATTTATAAACACACATTTGAAGATGGCTACTTCACTAAATAAAATTTTCTTTGCTCAGTTGTGTTTTATTTTCTTCACGAAATAATTACCGCTTCTACTTCAGATTGTGGATTATTTAATGCCAAGTTATGTGTGTAGTCGGCAAACCTTCAAACGGCTTAGCAGGAATCTCTTACCAGAGACTTCATGTCATATTGAATATTGTTAACACTTGATTTATTGTTATCAACTCACAAAAACAGCTAGTTAGTAATTGAACGAACTTAACGATGCGGCCATCACAGATGAACTGACCCGTTCACAACAGTGACGAGTTTAGAAAAACGACTACCTAGTGTGTATGTCACTTCTATCTGGTTAGTGAAAGTTCTTCAGTGGTGTAAGTGATTTTTAGCCACTCATAGAAGTTATTGGTATATATTGTGCATTATCCTATTTTAGAAGCTTGAATGCTTTCAGTTTCCACACACTGTCAGAATCAGTAAAAATTTAACCTGAGTGGAGAGTCTGATAGCTAAAGATGTCACCAACATTAATTAAACACGTACATCAATCTTTTTTCAAACTTTTCACAGAGTCAATGTATAAACTGAAGAAATCTGGTGCTCACGATTTACTTATTTCATTGTTGAGCTTCATGTAAGACAATACTTCCAATTTATCTGTGCTCATAGCTTCTCTCACTAATATTTCTATATCTTCCAACTAAAGAGACAAACAGATGCATTACACCTGAAAACAATATTTATCATGAGAAATCACATACTAATATCGTTACTTTTATTGCGTTTAAACAGCTACGTGACATTTTTTGTTCAATTAAGAGAGACACAATTGACTCCATAATACCTAACTGTGAGTGAATAAATATGTTATTAACTACTTGTAATAATTATAAAGGTTTCTTAAATATACTTCGTATAATTCAAATAGTTATTCTTCTTCACTTTATTTTGCTAGTATTGACTTGATTTTATTACAGTGACCATAATCACAAGCTGAAACCAATTACGAAACCACTAGACAAAAGCCGAAAACTTGTGGAAATAACCTGTCCGAAATCAGTAGAAAACAGGTGTACAATGCTGTTCGCTTCACTGTGTAACTGTTAAGCCAACTTGACCTCTAGACAAAATTTGCCATGAAATTAATGAAACTTCTATAAACTCTTCATCTTAATAGTATTTAAATTATCATGTTTTCGACTTTAAAGTGGTTCTTATGATGATTCACTGGCAGCTAGAGAAAATCAAAACGCACAAGAAAGTAAAATTTTTCGTAAATCAAAAATGTGTAATAGTAGCCACGGAAAACGTTCGCGACACATCAAATCAAGTGACTTCAGATCTTCAGGCAGGTAATGAATAATTAAGCCACCGTTTGACGTTTAACTGCCTGACACATCAAAATGCAGCCTTACAAGAAAGTGAATCACTTCAATTCACCGCACATCAGAGAAGCACACAAAAGTAGAAAAATTAATGTAATTCAAATACAACAAGCGAAGACATATGGAGTAAAGAATAATAAGATTAAAACTAATGAGAAGTTTAGGAATCCGGAAAAAGCATAAGAACTCAACGCATTCCCGTCAAATCACCAACAGACACCTACCAATGATTATTAACATCTTAAAGAACTAAGCAGAGCGAGCTACACCTAACTACGAAACTCAGAACCACTAGTCAAGGACTTCACAGATCGATGACTGCTTACAAATCTTCTCTGAATCAATGCTTTTTAAGTTTACGCTGCTCATCTAGAAGGACAATAGCCCAGCGAGTGTAACACATGTTCTGGCTGTCTTAATGGATGGAGCTTCACAGCTGCTTCGAATGACCTGCCTTCCTTGCTTAAAATTCTGCAATTACTCTGATAACTACTCACCACGTTATTTCACCTAACATTACGTTACGCTGTGGGGGGAGGTGGAAACCTTATGCCAAATATACTTAGATTTTCCCATAGGGATTGATAAGACTCGGCATCTTATGAGCATCTCCATCTGAAAGGACTGTATCACCTGATTAGTCTACATTAACTAGACTTTTGCTAATAAAACATCAATACATGAAACATCTCAATGCATAAGGTTCACATCCGTTATTGAAAATAAACATAAGTGAAGACACTGGGAACTTCTAACGGACACCACTGGTTTTAATCACTCCAGATAACGACCTTCTATACGCTCTTAGACGCAAAAGTTCGAATAAAAATCACTTAGTACAACTTATTTTGTCAGCAATACTTTCACAAAGAGACATTGTCACAGCAATTCTCTTTAGAAGGAGATAAACACTGCCTTCGCTCCATCAAATATGCTTCTACTAATATACGAAATATCACATCAAAGTAAAATAAATTATCTATAAAAGTATCTGGTACTGTATTGAATAAAGTGACTAATGGTAACACAGATTTGTATACAGTTGAAGCGTTAAAATCTAGTATATTTATTTGGATAACTTTTCAATTACTCAAACAAAATAATAATAACAACATTAATGTTAACAAAGTTTAACTGAAACCACTCACTTGGATAAGGCATGTTTAGGAAAGTAAGAATAAGCTAGAAGAAAGGCTAGGAGCGGCAAAACTATTGTACGGTACAAATCTATGAAGCCACTAACTGCTGAGGTTAGCTGTGTAGAGTAGTGCAAATTTTCTGATTGACATTTTTACAATCATAGGGATCAATGATTAGAAACTGTAGTGGATATGAATTAGAACCGATTAACTTATCAATAATTTAGTTATATTATCACATTTCTCTACTTATTTTATCTTTTTTCTCTCGCCTTAAACCAGACTCAAACTTATGATGTTATTTTGATTTCTCAATCAATTTATCGAATTCTACTCGATCTAAAGATATGATGTGTTGTAACTTGTGCTAGAAAATGTTAATACTAGATTCTCTAATGATAATACTTAAAGATTTGTAAATTATGGATGCATTTTTGAATGAAAACCTAATAATAAATTACAAAAAGTGGAGACTGAGGCAACTCCAATGTTTCTAGTAGTTTCTTATTTAACTCTGATTTACGATGAAAACACAGTATTTTATAATACTTGAGGGACTCAGTTTTGGAACATGTTCCTGGATGAACTTGACATGATAAAATAATTCCGAAAATAAAACATTACCTTGAATTTTGTGAAAAGAACTGCCGCACTGTTAAAAGGAACTGGACTCCTGTTTTATCCTCGTTTCATTTTCGTCTAAGAGTACCCGTTGATAACTACATGCGAAATAGCGTTCTAGACATTCAGATCTCAATGTAGACACATTACCACCCAGCCAACGGATTAAAAGTCAGTGATTCGTGGTTTTCAACTTCTACTTAAATGCACCAGTTCTCTACAAACTTTACAATGTAAAATATTCAGTCTTACTGAGTTCAACTCTTTTCATCACTGCGAGGAACTAGTGATTAAAATGATAGTGTCTTTAAAGTGTTATCATATTTGGAATAAATCTGTCTGTCTGTCTGTTTGTCTGTTTTCGACATAGAACTTTGCACATATGTGCGGCAGTTCAAGTCGCCACACTCCATGTAACACACAAAGCAAGAGAAGAAATGCATAATAGAGACAGTATTTGGAATAAATATGACTGAATGACAAAACCATATATTTAATTCCTCAATGTATCTGAAACCACAACGTAGGAATGACTAAATTTCACTATCATTCGGATTCGGTCTTGAATTTAGCGTATAGACCAAATGTTGTGGTGTCTGTAAATCAGTTGATCACTGTTATATTTTGTAGTACTAAACGCAAAACAAATTCTCCCAATGAAGTTTGCAATACAGTTGTGTAGCGTGATGCAAACTGATAAGAAGCGGCCAAAATTGAAATCATAATTTTAAATCAATGGCTGCAGAGGTAGATTATTCCTCAAGTCTGGAATTAGTTCACGTTGGGGACGCGAAATAACTCCCATTGGACCACTTGTTTAACCATGGGCCAATTGCCAACCAATCCGAAAGATTTAATCTCCTCTGATCTAGTCAAACTTTAATGTGACTCTGAATGGATAAATATGATGTTTTCCTTTAAAAAAAGGTCCGTTACTCAGTGTATCGAAATGTACTTTTTTTATTAATGTTAATAAGTTGAATACAACCTGTAGAAACATTTGCTCGAGTTGCGTTTCATACCGATAAACATGCTTCAATTAAACACGTGCACAAACGAAGTCAAATCACACGTCACTACAGTCGTAGATGTTGCTATAAAGCAACTATAGTTCCGACTGATGATGAGATTTAATGGATGAGACAAATTAATGACAGACTATGTGAATAAATTAATGAATGAGGTAATCTATAGTAACTATATTTAGGGACAAATGAAGCATAGTATAGTGTAGAATACTCACAAATCACACATTTGATCCGGGGTTTGGTCCCCGGTTGAGACACTCCTAAACCTCTCTTAGCAGGTAAAATATCCGGTAGAGAAAGAAGGCTGGGCATGAAGCTAGAAACCATACCCTATGGAGACAAACACTACTGCCACTGAAATTTCAAAGCTGAACCTTGATGCCCCGAATTCCACTAGGAACCCAAAGGAATAAAACCAGTAAAATAAAGTACACAATAAAGACTATAACGACGATTATTTCTTTAAACTAACCTTGACTAGATTATCCCAACCAGCGCTAATAAGCATAGCTGACTTATTTGGATGATATTTCAAAGCCATAATACGCATTGAATGTCCTTCAGTAATATTGATTCCAGGTGATGTAGCAACATATTCTCTTAATGAAGGAATGGCAAGAGGATTTTGTTGTTGATAATAACTATAAAAAGCTGCTGGTTCATGTATACTCAGTTGACTTGTCTCAGATGTACTGTAACACTGTATAACACTGTACGGTTTAACAGTAATATCAACAATTTGATCTGGTCTACCACCAGGATAGTTGGATCTACTTCGTTCAACAGCATTATTTAAAATTTCATAATTTTTATTTCTCGCTGTTTCAATTAAACTTCTCTTTATACTACCAGGCATGTGATAACCTGGTTAAAAAACAAACAACGAATACGATTCACTAAGATTGTTTAGAAACCCTGTCAACTAGGAGATGACCAATATTTACTCAGTAAAAATTCTGACCAATACAAGTAAATTCATTAAATCAGAGTGAAAATATTTCCCTAAGAATTTACTGCTATTAAAAATGAATCTTCCATATGTCATTATTAAAATAAGCGATTTCACCTACTTTGTTGGCATGTAATCATGAGTTTAATTGCCACCGTGAAATCACCTAAACCGGATTAGCCATCTTCCTCATTGGTTTCCTATACACCAGCGGTTCAGTGGTAGAATGCTCTCTAGTTATGCACGCCGGCACACTCTTAAACCCTCCCGGAAAAGAGGGACGGTTGAGAGTAAGGCCAGTAACCTCATACTGCATAAAAGTAACACCTCTGTCATTGGAACTTAAAAGCTTGAAACTCCATTCTCATAGTTAGGTAAAACACAGAAAAAGTCACTACGAAGCCTTGCTTTTACAAATCATACAGATGGCAGACATCGCGAGTTGAAATTTAAAAGCCTGTGATTTGATTTATTGCATTTGATTTCATCTCAAATAAACTTTGAAGATTTATACATTATATCGCGGAGGAAGTGTTTAAGTTCATATTGTATACACTAAACCTGAATCTTCCGCTGGAATTCACACATCTGTTTTACTTTTTTCGAACATGTGCATGACTCACGTGAATTAGCAAAATGATCATTCCCCCCCCTACTCACGTATTTGACAAATTAATTCCTTTAGATTATTACTACTGTTTCAATTATCCCAGCCCGTAGCCGCCATGTTAAGAAGCAGTAGTATTCCCTATATTTTTCAACACCCGTCCCTTCGAGATGTGAAGCAACAGTCAGCCACAAGCCACTGGATTTCAATCTAATGACCTAGTCATAAAATGTTCTTATTTAAATATGACGGCTAGGTGATGAATCTCTAGTGCAGTCATTGATGGAGACCACCAGGATTATAGTGAAAAGTTAGTCACTTATTTTTTTGTTTATAGTAATTCTCTAAGTGGTAATGTACAAGTAAATTTACTCTTGGACCGATCAGATGTCCACAAAGCCGAAATCTAAAGCTTTTCTTTCTTAATTATAGTCTTAATTTTCCTTGTTAACTCAATTACTAACCTTTTATTTGATTACTGACAACGTTCTGTGCATCAGACAGAAAATATTAGAGCTGTTAGTTTAAATTTAGCTGATTAAAAGCAGATTTTTGTTTCAATTAAATGTAAGAATAATAAACACTTTATAATATCTCTGTATGTATAATTTGATGTGAAAATTTAGGTTTTCACTAACCTTTACTCATATTATACGATGTTTCATCAGTTATTTCATACGGCAAACCGATGACACCACCTGGCTGCAAGGCATATATGCGAATTCTTCGATCTGTACCACCAGTTGCTAACTCTAAACCATCAGGAGACATATCCAGTGTATATGTCTGTTGAGGTTCTAAAAAATAAATTCAAAATAAAGTGGAGACAGTATTATCGATTATTTAGATAAATAATACAAAATGACAAATGAATTAAGGTCTCTATTACCAATAGATTGCACTGAAAAACTGGCCCAAGTTCATAAGGTTTTCTCACCTTTATAACTGCTATCAGTATTATAATTACAATGACAGCGTTATGAAGATGAATTGATACTTACATAATGGCTAAAACATTTGAGTATGCGCTTCATTCACTGACGTCTTTAAAACTAATATCAACCACATTATTGGAGAATATTATCATTATTCCTTTGGGCTCTGAGTTAAAAAATAGGGATTCAACAGCACATCTCCACTTTTCCCAATTCTCTACAGTCCCCTTTAACTGGCTTACAATAGCTCATTAGCTCTCATCTTCTACTTACACGATCTTCTCCAAGTCACCGTCGGACTCACACCTACTCATAGTTTCCCATTTGGATTCCACTCAAGAACCTGGCGTATGTTGTCACTCAACGGTCTATCTAGCGTATGTTCATCTCCACTTTCTTCTGCATGTTTTTTGGGCAATAGGTCTCCCGTCAGTTTGTCTCCAAAGTTCCCAGTTGCTAATACTTTCTGGCCACATGATCTTCACTTCGAAGTAACGATGGTAGCTGTTGATGGAAGCATGAAGCCTGTTGGATACGTTTCCTATGACAAGCCTAGTCTCTGAACCATACAGAAGTACTGACAACAATGGTGTTGAAAATCCGAATTTTGTTCTTTATGCTGAATCCAGAGGATTCCCACAGATTTCAGAGTAATGAATTTCTGTCTTGCTTTTCTCATTCTGCGTTTGACATTCCATCAGTACCGCCTGTAATTGAGACGGTACTGTCTAGACAAAAGGAAAACAACCTCGTTCAAATTTGTTCTATTATTAGTGACGGTTGCCAGTTTTTGGTCGATTAGTTACCTTCATCACCTTCGTCTTCTGAACGTTCACTTGAAGTGTTGTCTTCTCTTTTCTTCTGTCACCTTGTTGATATTCGCCTACAGGTTTTTGAATTTCTGTGATTTAAAGAATAAAGGAAATAAAACTGCTTGAACTTACAAATCTTTATTGCTATAAGACTGACTGGAGTATTTCTGTGCAAGCTGTCAAAACTAGTACTCCCCCCCCCAGCTGAAAGACTGTTTTGATGTACAGTTTAGCTTATTGAAATGAAGTCACAAAAAAATAAGTGATAGCTGTTAAAACATTGTGGATTTTAACCCATACATTCATGATTTCGACGAAACTGTGAGTACTTCGTATGAAAAACTTCTCAGCATTTACTACGGCATGGTGTGAATGACTTACAAAATGTCACACCTCGGAACCCAGTGATCCTCTTTTACGAGTCAGAGAGAAACTACTTTTTCGCATGGCTGCAGATTTATATTGTAAGTGATAACCAACGGGGAACTGGAAAATATGTAGTACTGTAATCATGACACAGTATTTAGGTGGCCATTTCTTTGTACAATGTTGAGAAGAGATTAGGTCAAATTTTAGCCACGTTATAATTATTATAAAAAATTCATTTAATTAAGGTTGAGGAAAAATAAACCGGAATAGCATCTAAAACACCATTACATGGTTTCAAATTACAAAACATTATGATAACACAAAGTGTAATTGAAGAGAAATAGAACAGTATTATACTAAAAAACAGATCTGGTCATATCAATCTCTTTCCTTAATGTAGCAGTGGACACTAACCGAAATTCCAGCATCACGTAGGGTAGAGTCATTGTTGTGTACTGATGAAAATTCATGGATAATCCCCATCCAGGCATTAATGAAAACAAAACACGTAGATCAGCGAAGAGTCTCTTTTCGGCGAATTCATTTTCTTAGCTGTACAATCGCAAATATATATGCATTGTTTTGTATGTATGTGTACATTAAGTTTGTCAAACAAAGTTACAATTGGTTAAGGTTACTTTTAACTAAACAAGTGGAGGATGGTAATACAGGTCAAGAAAATTAAGTGCTAATGAAACTAGGGTAGTAAAAAAAGTGATGAGTTGTCACAAACAGTTGTAATAATAATAGTGAGTTTTACTCAGGATGCACATAGAAACAAAGTAGATAATGCGAAACTATGTAAGAGATCTAAGTGGATACAAGAATTATAATTGCTTAAGGTTATTTTAACTAAACAAGTAAAGGTTGGTAATATAAGTCAAGACCATTAAGTGCTAGGGTAGTAACAAAGGTGATGAGTTGTCACAAACAGTTGTTAAAAGAAGTTATGCAATAATAATATGAATAGTTTGATGAGTGAGTTTTACTCAGGATGCACATAGAAGTTGCAAAATAGGATAGAATGTCCGTTCAGTACTCCTTGATTTCCAATAGTTCTTTAACTGACATCGATCAGTGGTCCAGCTTGGAACAAATTAAATCCCTACAAACTGATTCTCGTGATTTTTTTTCAATTGGGCATTCTTAAAGAACGTCAAACAAAAAAAGGGGAAATATAAATATATATCAGAATTACCTGTAAATAATGTTTCAAATCCTTCTGAATCTGGTTGAAAGCTAAATACTTCTCCGTGTGAATTACACGCAACAGCCCATTCATATTTAGTTGGCATAAATCGTATAGCTGTAACAGGCATACCCAATGTCCATTTAGACGGTCTAGGCAATATACGCTGTATACCGTCGGATGTTTGAATCACCTGGTTTAATTTATTTTAGAAAAGATGTTAATGAAATACGTACAGTAGGATATAAACTTATATAGAATATGCATAAGTATTGAAAATATTTACGTAAATCAGTCCCAGTACCAAAGATCTTTGTTAGTTGATGAATCATGATATTGGAAAATAATAAAAGATAACGTTCAACAGTAATCATAATAGTAGTCTGAACGGCTGTTGAAAGGTTTAAGGAAAAAACTAAAATTAAATGTGTTAACTGAACATTATATATTACGTACCACTTAACACCACTATCCATATTGAGCCGATATAAATACCAGTTATTCCGCTCATTTAGGACTGAACGCGTTATTGCTACGTCATGAAATCAGTTCACCCAAATACATATATTTAAACGCTATGATCATTTCACAGTGCGTCGGTGGTTCACCGAGAGCATACTCACCAACCACGCACGTGGTCTAAGGTTCGAAAGCCGGCCAAGGCAGTCCCATACCTAGCCGGTGGTAAACCTAGAATAAAGGGAAGGTTGAGAGTGAGGCCGACTACCCCACCCTATAAAAACATCACCGAAGCTACTGAAACGTCAAGGCTTCAAGTCTAAAAGCGAATGTTCCGCTTGGAATGACGAGAATTATATTATATCAGCACCACTATCGTCCCCTGTCATATTTCATTACTACTCTTCATATCCGACTATACAGACTTTATCAGTCTGGACTTCTCTGCAGAATTATAGGAAAATGGACCTGGAAGCTATTCATTTATGAAAAATGAAATGATATTCAATAGTGAAAAGTTGATTTATTTGCAAGTAGATTTTTTTTATCACCAAATCGATATCAAATAGGTAACACAGAATTATGAGGAACGATGGACATTTGTTTATCTATACACTAAAACACTCTTACATAGTACACTGAAGACTCTCTTTTGATGTACATCAATGGCGATATCGATTTGAAATCCACTTTTAAGTGGATCTGTCAAATTTTCATTGAGAAGCTACCAATGGTTGCTACACTTTATTTATTTTATTTTATTCTATTTTATTTTTATTTTTTATTACAGCTTGATTCCACACTGTATTTTTGGTACAAGTATGGAATTTTCAGCATGGATATCGGTAGCCCAAATTTCGCAGGCCGACCATAGGTGAGATGAGAAAAAAATCTCTTCTTTAACAAAACTTGATTTTGATCATGAAATATCCGAAGCTCCACCCCCCCCCGCAAAAAGTAAACACCACTGCTACTGAAAATTCACAGCTCAAGCTTGGACCCTTATTTTCCGCTCAGAGCGTTAAGTGGTGAATAGTATACTAGCTGTAGTATATGATTATTTTATGTCTCAACAACAGGTGCTAAGTCTATGACATAATCGTAGAAAATCCATAAGTTTTCACTTCTTCCAGACTGTCTCAGTTACACTGAACAACGATTGTTATAGCAAACTCAGAAATCAGAGAAGTGCTTGATGTCTGTAGTGGATTATAAGTCTATTTTTCAGCTAAGTGTTCTTAGACGGTTAAAAGAGCAACAACGACAACAACAAAAATCATATTTCCGGGTAACAAAAGTGAGCGTTCTATTTCAAGATTTCTCAGCATATTAGTTCACTTTTGTATAACACGTGAATGAAGTTTATTCTTCAGTAAAAAGTAACACTAAAAATATTATAATCTTGAAGAGACTTATCATTATTGGAACATTAATAAAATGTTTAACACTAAAACATTATATTTTAAAATAACAAAAAAAGGCTTACTCGAATACTTGTATTTGCAGAACCAGCTAAAATATACTTTCCATCTATACTAAATTGTATTGCGTGTATTGCATAATCATCCTGTAGACGACGCCATGGTTGCCTTTTCAGATAATCTCGCATATGTAAACGACAAGCAGTTGTATCGTGTTTGTTCACATCTTCACAGTCACCACTGCTTACAATTAGTTGTTTATCCCTGATATATGTATCTCTGTCTAAATCATCATTGTCATCATCATTCAATGGCTTTTTTAAATTCTCTAAACCAAAACAATTACATTTGGTGACTATATATGTATTATCATAAGTGTTCACTCTTTCATTGATCAATTTATCACTATCATCAACATCGTTACCATCAATAGTTAACTCAGCAAACTTGTTTGGACAATCATAATTCGGTGGGAAACAATGCCGAACAAATCGTATACGCGTGAATCGAAAACACGGTGCTATACCATATTCCATAAAAGCACCAGCTGCTAAAGCTGATTCTAAATGCCGCCTAGCCATTTTAGTGATACTTGAATGAGGTGGGCTATAAAAAGACAGTTGAGAAAATAATTGTTCAGATTACGGAAGTCCAATTAAAAGAAATTTATTAAATTATTTGGAGGGAAGTAACAAAAATAGTAGGGGGTCACTGGGGTTAAACTGGCTTGAGAAATACAAAAGTTGGTGAGGTTATCACTGGAAAAATTCCCCAAAATAACCTTGGGGACAAATGCACCAGGCATAGATGTGCTGTTGATTAACAGACCGGATCCTACAACGATCCAACGACTTTCAGAAAAGACAGGAAATCTGTCTTTAGTTGGAAATAAGTCACATTAATTTAACCTAACAATTTGATTACAAAAGCGATTAAGAGTAATGACAGACAATCACTAGTTAGATTTGCTGCAGTACTTGCTGTTGTACAGAAATCAGAGATAATACCTTGAAAGCGATCTACATAATTAATAATTTCAGTATGAATGAAGACAAATAAATATTTCCACAAATGTCACAGTTAACATAACGTAGCGTATAATATTTTCTCTGCTAACTGGAATGTGAAAACGAAAAACAAAATCGAAAACATCAGATGTAATTCAGGTTAAAGAAGAACGACATTGAATAGATTCAAACAATTCAACAACGTCTGCAACAGAGATATATTAATGATATTTGACACCCTCATTTTTACTGACCTAAATGCACTTTTTTGTCTAGTCCATGGAAAATTTATGTTTGCGTCTGAATATGAAAGAAACGTTGAAGTCTATTGTACTATGTTTACTTATTCAGACTGACACAGTTGCACCAAATCTTACACACAGTCATCATTCAAGGAGAAAACATTCAACTATATAAGGCAGGTTTTATTTACTTAATTCGCTTTAAATTTGTCACGAGTATACTGTGCGGAGGACTGTTTCTGTCGAGTTATATTTCACGAGCGGTGTGATGTGATCTTTTGATTGGACGCTAGTTAGTAACTAGTGTAATGTGTCTAGTCCTTTATTTGGTGAAAACTGAATTCTTAGAGCGATAATTGCTTCCATCAGAATTAAATTCTGAATTTATATATTTGTAGATTGAAAACTTGTCCTGTTGACGAGAGTTGAGACAGATAGGTTGTGTAAACATGACTACTACGTGTACATATACATTCGTAGGCTGCACTCCAAAATTAAACTGAGAGCGCACTGCTGTCACCTGTGCTTCTTATTAGTTGGTAAATTATATCAGTATCAATGGATTTATTGGTTGCTAATAGCTTCTAGTACTTAACTTCTGAAAGTTCCCCAGCATGTTTCGTGTTTCCCTTGTTCAAAACATGTACATTAGCCTGATCAAGTTGGTGACGACAGCTGTTGATATGCAGTTAAGTGGATAAATTTACGTCTTGCCGTTTAACAGCTAATCGATATCTATGTAAGCTGAGATGAAGACAAGTGCTACTCTTTCCATTGTGGTGTTTTTGGCACTTCTCACAGTTTATTTCCTTTTCATTGTATTACGTTCCTCTTCTTTTTTCCTCACATACTTCGACTTAAATAATATGGAGTGGAGAGATTACATAGGCTTGTGAGCTATTCAGAAACACTTGCTTCGATCTCCAATATATTCCAGACGACACTTCTGTTAGCCCTTATAGAATACTTTTTTAGTTGATAAGGGATTCGTCAAACACCTCTTGACAAATTGAATCGATAACCATTCTTCCAAAAAACAGAATGTCGGTAAATATCTTCCTTTCTCCGTATGGTTGGTACAACACGGTGTGTCTTTGTCCCTTTGAACAATGTTTGTACACATTTGATTAGATATTTGCTTTTTTAACTGAGTTCTTAACCGGTGTTAGTTGATGACGTCGTTATTAATTGGATGTATAATTTTCAAATTGAGAATTTTTGATTCCAGTAGTTGTTAATATTAGCCAGCGGAAATAACCAGGACTTGTTGTGCATAATATGATACTGACATCCTGAAAAAATGATGTACACTGAATTATAATTACGTTTGAATACTGCTGTGCGACCAGGATAACACATTACCAACCATTTATTTATTTTGAAAGCTAAACTCAGTCATGTGGATTGCTTGGTTGGCATCCTCGTAACTATCGACTAGACACTCTTGGTTCTGTCGATCAAGTCATTCACAGTGACACAGATATATCTATTACCCAAAGTCTTCGAAATTTTCAACATTTTTATTTAAATATTTCTTTCTCCATTGACTGTCATCTTTTCTCATTGTAGTACCATTACGCATATGTTCACCTGCTTTTGTATGCTATTCTGAAGGCTAACGACTTGAAATGATGCATTTATATGCAGGATTCTACGTTCACTTGTCAGTCGGTTTGCTGTGTAGGAATAATGGCTTTTTAATAACTGGGATATTTTCTGTGTTTTGAAATTTCAGTAGCGATGGAAATGTATTTCTTACGGAGTGGGGCTACTAGGACTACGCCTGACCTTCTCTTTTTACCGGTTTCAAAACCGGCGAATAAAACAAGCATTGAATATGTGCCACCGTAGACTCTTCATGTGGTGTATACCCACAACTATTTAAGGCGTCGTCCAAATGACAGCATAATGCTCTACAAACAACAACTAGATAAAGTCATTTTATAAAGTACACATAAGAAGAACCGCAACTGAATTTTCAGCGTAGAAATTAGCACAGAAATCTAGCAGTTCGACTGCCACGATTCATAAAAGCACACATAAGGGCAGAGAAAAAATAAAAACTAAGGGTGGAAATGTACAGGAGAAAGAATAAGTACAAACAAAAACATGAGGATTTAATGGATCTGGGATATCACTAACTGATAATTCATCCGCACCACTGGAAACGGTTTTGAGCTGTCACCAACAGTAGTAGGGGACGTTCGGCATACATGATACGTGTCCTGTCCATCTCAACCGATACAACTTCACAACCTCATGGACTGACTTTCCTACCTTGTCTAACACCTGACGCCTGACCTTACATATGGCTCACCATATTATACAGCTTAACACGAGATAGAAAACGGACACCTACGACCAAAAAAGGTGGCCCTCTTAAGTCTTCGACTTTCAGTGGCTATGTCTCACAGCCACTAAGAAGGGCAAAGTGAGCTGTTGTACAGTGCCAATATTCTTTGATCAATAGTCAGATATCACGATTCCATTAGAGATGGGAAAAATTAGCAAACCAGCCTTTTGAATCCGAGCTGAAATTACGTTGGCAGTCAGTTCATTAGGGGTGGTACCACTTCCCAAATAATTAAAGCGGTCAAAACACTGAACCATTTCACACCCTATTCTTAAACTAGCAGTCGGTGCACAGCAATTCTTCACCATCAGCCCAAATTTAACAGAGGCGAATCATGTACCAAACATACTAAGATTTCCACTTAGTGTTTAGAAGACTCAGCATTTTGTCACTATCTTCACGTAAAAGGATAGTACGATCTCAATAGTCTACACAAATTCTTCCCTGGTAAAATCCCAACCCCTAGGTCACCACAGTTTATCAGGGTCACACTTATTGGAAATATTTAAACAATCTTTTGTACATTTTGGAATTAAAAACGACAGACGTTTCCAAATGCTAATAACATAATAATAATAATATTTTATTGGTTCTCAAGTGTAATTCTCGTACTAGTCAAACTCATCAATGGAAGGATTGACCGAAAATTCCTATTTGATACTAGCGAACAGTTATTCACAGTTTAAAAATTCTTCCACACACATTCATGGGGACTTCATTCGTCTGCTTCCAGTATATGAAAAATTCGTGTAGATTACCGGTGAAACGGTAACTAGTTTGACTCTTTATTTCTAGAAGCTGATTTAAGTCTATGGGTCAGGTGTGCCTAATCAGCCAATGAGCTAAGTGGTAAGAAAATATAACGCAAAGCAGTGCATCACCATTTCAAATGTGTTTCCCTGCTAATCTACCCCTAAATTTTGATATCAAAATACAGTACGTAAAGTTGGCATTAAGTAGTGTATCTAACCACTCATTAATGTTTAGATAAATAAGTCAAGCTAACTAGTTGATACTCAAGGATTTAAATGTCTACTATGATAATCAAATTCAATTCTAATCAGTTATTATCCATCCCTCATCATCATAAGGCATGTTTCATTCACTGTCCACAAATATTTCTAACACACTTAATCTTCCACAACTACTTTGCATAGCTAAACACTGTTACTTATTCCATGATGATCAGTTTTAACGGAATTAGGGAAATACTGAAAGATAGACATACATATACACAGTGAAACATGGCACAAATCATTGAAATCCATTTAAGTCCGACTGAGTTGTGTGGGTTGTTTGACTGAGAATCATTAGCTTTTTAGCTCTCGATAAAGCCTATCATAATTATCGAGATCTACAGGCATTAATTAGCTTTATTTAATTTTACTTTCCTTCACATAGCAATTTTCGTGTAGTGTGATATTATTGTGTCTGTCCACATTGTTTCTGTGTAGTATTTCAAACAATGGAAATTGTAGCCGACACACTTCTATGTATCAATGAGCTCTATGCTATTCTATCCGTTTGTAACAATACAGAACCATAATCTTAGGGACTACACATGTCAATTCATGATGATAAAGAATAAAGTTTCGTAAGCCTTGTCTCCAATGTCAATATTTTTTTTCCTTCACGTTCCCCAGTGGAACATCGGGCTTCAAGCTAGTGGCTTGAAGTTTCTGTAGCAGTGTTTATTTTACAGGATGGGGTTGCTAGCCTCATGCCCAACCTTTCCTCTTTACCAACTTTATTTCTGGCTCAGCGAGGTAAAGGAGCGCGTCGGCCGGTGATCGAACCCCGGACCATATGCATGATCGGCGAGCGTCCTAACCGCTATGCCACCGACGCACAAAGCCGCCGCCCGATGGGGGGGGCACGAACCTCCGACCCTCAGAGTAAAAGTCTGATGCTCTACCGACTGAGCTAACCGGGCCAATGACAGTATACGCCTAACTTTTCTTTGAATCAAGTGGATATACATTGTTGTTTTTTTACGAATTAGTGCATCCAAGTAGGTTTTACTATTGAGGATGACCTAAACCACTTACTGTTAACTTGATTTCTTAAAAAATCAATTATTAAGTCTATGAAGTAGCTGAGTCTGTAACCTCTGGATCATGTGCTACAGTAAACCTAAGAAAGAAACAAGGAATCCAACAAGATTTCAGCTAAGCTATTCTTATCATAAAGATGACATCCAGATCCAGAGAAATTTCCATCAACTAACTTATAACACATATAGCAATATAATGCTTCTTTTGTGGATGAACTGGCAGCTTTATTTCATACTAGCCTAACAAAATCAATCATACAACCTGGTTTTCGGTACTAACGTAACAAAAGACAATATAGAAATAGAAAAAACTAAAACGTTAATAAATAAAGCCAGTATGCCTGAAACCTATACGGAACAATACTAATAACCAACCAACTAACTAACTAACGAAGAATAGAAGTGAAGTGAACTGGTAAAATAAGTATTTTTATTGTACAAAAAATGCGTGTATATGTGTACATATGTTAGTATAAGGAGCACAAACTATACAGAATTTGCAAAAATATCTAGACAAAAAGAAGTGAGTGAAACTCATTTACTCCTTCTAATATTATTATTAGTATTATGTGTAGAGGTAGTAGTAACAGTAGTAATACTTACAACAACAGTGGTTAGAAAAAGTAAAGATTATTTACAAAAGATAGTTTTAAAAAAGTCCAGGATAAACGACGAGAGACTGTTTCCATGCATTAAACCCATTCTTTGGGATGTGTGAGCACTTCGATAAGCGATTGATTTCTAGGATCTTTTGAATTATCATAACAATATGTCCATTGCTAAATAGAAAAATCAAAGCATGATATTACACATGAATGTATGAAAATAACACGAAAGGCTTACGGCCGATATAAAATAACATTATTTGCAATCATATAGATCAAACTTTTAATAGGCAAGTATATACCCGTTACACTTTCTTTTGTAATTCAACTACACACATTGGAATTATTAGAATTCATACAATCTATGGGCTGACTATCTGCATTGTAGTAGAATTTGTAAACCTTGTCATCAGGCTTCTCTGCATAGCCTTTAAAGCAATAGAATCGAATGATGATTACACATAAATCCAGATAGTGCACAAACAAGGCGGCCTGCTTAAATCATTGGGCTACCGAAATTACTTTCCTCCAAAATGCTTAATTTCATCTGTACTTATCATTGTTTTAATCGTCCAGTTATATCAAATGACCTATACATGAACTTGTGCGATGATTTAACTTGCTACCAACTAAACGCTGTACAATTCTTCAACGAAATGAAGATAAACTTCAGATTATTACTTTACATGCGAATCCTGTGTGAAGAAAAAAGTACTTTGGAACTGAATACACTGAAAATTTTTGTACCGTATATTCGCATACTGTCTTAAATAAAGCTTTACCATTATTTAAAAAAAATATGTTGGAGGGAATTTCCATGAACAGTTACTTCACACAACGTTTTCTTATTTTGAAAGTGTTTAAACACAAAGGTGTACGGATGTGGCGTGTGCTACTGACAAGATTTATCAGTAGTATATAAAGAAACTTCACTGACACAAAACAGTAAAGAGATAGATTTGACGTCATAGAGAAGAAATGAACCAGTATTGAGACAAAACGTGAGTCATGATATATATATATATACATTGATACAATAATAATAATAATAATCAGTCTAACTCGGAACTCAAATTTTTTTTAAAGAAACAGTCCATTAGGACCGAAGTTTACAGCCATCATTTACTAAAGTTACTTTAAAGTGCTTGTGCTGTTCACAGTCACACCAGAATTAATTAATCATACCGACTATGTAAAACAGTCTTCATATTTGTCAATGTACCACACTGCATTGACACCATAAAAACGGTTAAGTGAATAAAAACGGTTGGAAGTAATGCTTACAGCAAAAAGTGGCAGTGACATTAAAATACTTTCAATTCTCGCTTCTGGAGTAGCTAAGCCAAATTTTGTGCCACGATCATAAATTAGGTTAAACTCTACATAACGTCCACGCCTAACCAACTGCCACTCACTAAAAAGAAGAAATTAATAATAATTATAATAATAATAAGGGTAAAAAACATTAAGCATTATTGTATTATGAGCGATCTTTCCTTTTCAGTGAATAATAATAATAATGAATAATTTCAGATAGAACTTTTGATTTGCCTCCACATATTCTAAATTCTTAAATTCTTTTGCGGAAATCTTTTCACCTATATTACAAACTGAACCCATAGACTTCGATCAAGACAGTGAACCTATAAGCTCAAACAGTTATCACACAGTAATGAATATATGTGTATGAAATTTAACTAAGGGTCATCTGTAACACGAATGTCTTTGTGGTACGTCATCTAGAGCAGATGATGCAAATTACAATCCTTAAGGGTTGCATGAAACATAATAATGAATAACGAAAATTGCAAAACCAAACTTGATTCTCTCAAATTCTAAATTGGCTACTTTTTTCAAGATCATTACAAAAAACGTCTGTGATAAATAATTAAGCATGTAATCGGACTGTAATCGTGATCAAAGCAAAGAATAGTTCTTTTATTCGCTGGTTTATCGGTAAGTAAATCAGATTCATTAAAAATAACCGATAGCGGTTTCATAAGGTTGTCATGTCACTATCAATTATTCGGATACCAGTTAATAACCATTCACATTTGCATGCATTTGGTGATAAAGAAGGCCTATTATGCAAGAGCTGACGTCATTTCTTGTTTGTCCATGTCTTGGTAGACAGAACAGAGTTCGAAGCCATGGTCCATTGACTGAAAGACGAGTGGTCAAACAAATGAAACACACTTAGTCGCATAGTACCACTCTGCGTCTACTAATTAACGAGGAAGACAGATACACATAAAACCAATACATCATGTGCTGAAAAATAAATTAGTTTAAGCTTAAACTACAATATCTCTCGGAATTCGACTGGATTATTTATCTCCCAATCCATTCTCTTTATCTATTTTTCAAATAGACTAGTGTATTCTTGACCGAATGATACCATGAATATGACACTCAAAACTTAGCCAAGGGGTTAAAAGTTTGAATACTGCTGTGTATATTTAGGTATGAATGTTCAGGTGGTATGATCAATCTTCACAAAAAATGCATAAAAACCTTAAGAATATATTTTTTTAAACATAAGTCATTGGTTAATAACATCCCTCTCTACGTGATCAAAAAATTTGTCATCATATTGAACTTGCTTTCGCAATTCAGTACTATTTTCTACTCAAAATAATGATTCTTCTCCACAAAATGTTATTAGTCACATGCTATCACTGTTTCACCCTGACTCATTATAGTACGTATCAAACAGCAATCCTTCTCCACTAAGATCCAAACTTTTGTTTCAGCTTCAACAGTCTTTTTCACAGTAAGATCAATCTTATCAAAACTACAATTAGAATTATGTACGCATGTGGATCGTTAGACTTCCTCAACCACGTTGCATAAATTAATGATATACTTTGGGTAGAATGAAATATTTTACCTCTTTACAACACTAGATTTTACGCTATGAATGCATCTACACTTATGATAATTATTTTGAATTAATTGATTCCAGCTGTATTATATACATCAATCAAAAAGCCAATCTACATTTACAGGATATAGGCTAAGAATCAGACATCAAATTCATTTGTGCCGTATTTTCGTCTAGGTCAATTTCTCAACCTTCTTCACCTAAACTTAATCGATTTAACATCATTTATTGAAGGAAAAATCACTAAATATCCCTAAGATATGTCTCAACAAACTCATCCTAATTGGGGTGACATATTCATTTATTAATTTGTCTTTCTTCTCCGACAACAGTCTACAGCCGGTCAAATACATTGGGACAATAGTGAAAATAGGTCAATGATCAAACAGCAGAATGTAAATCATAAGTTATCATGATTTATAGTCATACACCTGATGATAAGTTGGTGGTTGCCAATATGCATAATCAATAATGAAACTCAACATGCAACGTAGATTAGGTCAGTCAGTATTACAACCTGGTTATTCAGATTTCTGAAGATGAGACAGAGAGTTAGGACTGACTCTTAAAAAACTTAGCCATAGTTTCACTAAGGATACGAGTACTTCAACCACTGAATAAAAAAGCTACTTATCATTTCCCTGGTAAGTTACATGCGATAGAGGAAATAGGTAAACTTTCACTCTTCACTAATAATATATGCCCCATGCATCACGCTATAAAAAAGAAGCCTCAACAAATCAAAATTTAACATGCAATAAATATTAATGTGCAACAAAAGTAAATTTACCGTTCCAAGTCAGTATACTTCAAGTTTTTTCGTTTTTCAACAATAGGCAAATAGGCTGGAATGATAGCTTCAGCACATGACTATTAAAAGAAATAATAATAATAAACTAGTTTATCAAAAATAAATTAATAGACAAAAACCTTAACTAAAACTTTAAAATCATTTTCAACAAAAAGTAACGTCAACTGCACAATAAAGAATCAAGGCACATCCCGTCAACAGTAAGGTCTCAGTGGAGAATTTCATTTAGGGCTCCTGTTAGTACTTTATCCCAAAGTTATTGAATAAAGATCTGTTGACCCATGTTTTCTTTATTCTAGTAATTTATAAAAAAGTATCCAACGTCGCTAATGCACATCAGCTTTCTTTTAATAGTTAGATATTGCATGACGAAAAAATAATAACTGATTCTATAATCATGTATCTATTGCGAAATCTTACAGTCTAAAGCTTAATTTCGAACAAAGCTGTGAGAGTGCATTAAGAATGAAACAACTGTATAATGCTTTTTCTGTCTGATAAACCTGAATGAAGACAAAAACTGTCTTGAAATCAGTCTGTTTCTTACAACTCTTTTAAGCGAATTACTAGGCACTTGATCAATCAAAACTAGGCTAATTATGTCTGATAATATACGCTGAAGCGATAATCACAGCTACAACTATATTTGAGACAACTAAAAAAAGTGATACAATTTATCACTACTTACTTAACATTATTGATTATAATACATGCACATCAAGGTTATCAGTGTATCACACTGTATAGTCTGTTTACTGGGAAGCTTTTAAGAAACCATTAAAATCATAAATACACAGCATATACTATCTACGATTCCCAGTCATCATCATATTTCTGGTTTGGTTTCTTTTCTTAAGAAACAAATAAGACTTTTACCACCATGTGTATCAGGCACTGAGACATCTACAAACGTGCGCTACACATTCTTTGTTTGATTTTTGCAGGACTCCACCTCTCTTTTAAGAGCCAATGGTGGGTGTTTTTCCATATGCTAGGATATGGGTGATATTTATGGTGTAAGGGCTGATGATACTAACCGGCTGCTTAAACTCAAGTAAGTGAAACCAGATTAGAACCATGAACCCATGGAGTGAAAGTTAAGTGTTACGGCGAATGAACCAATGGTCGGAAGGGGTGAATTTGAGTTGGGCATTACACTCATTTGAAATACCTACCAGCAGGACACACCTGAATGGCTGCAACATACAGCTATGATACGAAAACAAAACAACCTCTTTATATCAATAGGTATTCAGTCGTACTAATTATTTAATCCACTCATTAGTTTACACGACTATTAATATATCCATTGACCGATGCAGTTTGTTTTAAACCAGTTACAACAATATAAGTATTGTTAAGACAATTATTTAAAATAATTCAGGCGTAATTAAGAAAAAATCAAAACAAGATTTTCCTGAACGTTTCGCTGTGTAAGCCACAGCTCCATGAACCTCCGTGACCTTTATTAAAATATTACCACGTTCATCGCATGTGAATTGACGTCTTTTTCATAGGACAAATAGCATACACACATTCATACAGACAAATATGCACAATGACAATTTGATATTAGTCAATAAACATATATAATGACTGCTTACAAATTTCTCTTGGTACAAATGTCTATCGACAAGTGACTTTCAAATGAACTGACTTCAATATGTGTAATTTTTGACTGTATATTTTAATGATTAATAAGATTCGAATAGTTCCGCTGAAAAAGCTGTGGCTTACACAGCGAAACGTTCAGAAAAATCTTGTTTTGATTTTTTAAATAATTTATAACGATTCAATCTTACTCGGCGCTCACATTATTCCAGGCCAGATATGCGCAATCGCCGTTTCACCGTCATCACATGAAGGTAGTAAGTAGGACTTATCTGGCAGAATCTACAAACACATGGTCACATGATAGCATTTCGAGAGGAGGACTGAAGTCTAACTACCCTCAGCCGTACCACGTCGTTTGTGGAGGCCGACAAAAATCAACGGGCACTGAAGTGTTACCTTACAAATACTATTCAGGATAAAGTCTACGACAGTCATTTCCTTTTGGCCAGCACATTAGCATTCACTCAGTTCTGTCATATCGTAATACAACGTAATATCTATTATTATCTACCAATATACTTAAAACAATTTAGGAAATTAAATGTCAATAAAATATCAATGATGCATTTTCAAATAAAACCTACTTTTACAAAACCGAATACTTTCTCTTGTGATGTGTCTTCTAAATCATCGAAAAATATCCCACCCACACCACGCGTCTCACCTTGAAACAGAGATGTATGTGATGAAAATAATAATTAATAATAAAACATAAGTGAGTACAAGAAATATTTCGACGAATGTGTAGGAAAAAATGTTACAATGAGTGTTAATACGGATAAAGAAGCTGTTGTTTACACAATGAAATGACTCAAAAAATCTTGTTTTGATTTTCTAAACACACTGGGATTATTTTAAATAATTTTATAGAGTCTAAGGTCGGCAGAACTATACAGTCCACCCTGATAACTACTGGACTTTCGATGACTTACTCACAAAGAAATAATTACATCAATGTGTCGGAGCTAACAATATAAACCATATAGCTAAACCATCATTTAAAATGTGTTCAATTATTAGTAGACTAGAATTTGGACACAATTATTCCAATGTATTTCAATAACCTAAAAGCATGTCTTTTACCGTCAGCAGTCTGTTGGTTGATTGACTGATGGCGGCCTGCTTAAATCACTGAACTACCAGAATTTCCATCCACCAAAATACTTAAACTCTTCTGCATTTTTGTTTTAATCATGTAATTATATCAAATGATCACTACATGAACCCGAGTATATATTTAATTGGCTTTCAACAAATCGCTGTGCAATTCTTGAAAAAAAGTGAAGGAAATATGTACAAAATTGGTTCTCTCTCCATATGCAACAAACACTGAGACGTTGTATGGTGTACTTCAGATTATTACTTTACAAGTAAATCCTGTATAATGAGGAAATATTTTGGAACCAAATAAGCTGAAAATTTCTGTACTGTGTGTTTGCATATTGTCTGAAATAAAGGTATATCATTACTTATTTAATTCAATTAGTACTTTCTGGTTGATTAATTGGACTGAAATGCTCAGCCTCAGGTTGAAATGTCGGCTCCGTGTGCGAATACTTCGACGATGTCTGATTATTTAACTTGAAGTAAATTGGTGTACGGTGACTGGCAGTTAAATAATCAGACATCATCGATGCATTTGTACAAGGGACCGACATTTCAACCTGAGACCGAGCACTTCAGTCCAGTAAATCAACGAGAAAGTTCAAATTGAATTAAATAGTTACTGATACCCAAAGTGGTCTAGTGGATAATGCTTTGGCGTTTGAAACTATGGGTACTGGGTTCGAGCCTCACCGGTAACACTACCATTCACTGGAGAGTGCAGGCATAGCCAGATGACGAGTCAAAATACGCATCGTGAATTCCACTGCTAGTCATCATCCACCAATCATTGCTTTTAAAACACTATAAAGGTGAACAATACAAGAAAAGAATGCACACACAATACGTTGAATATACAAAAGAAGACATACCTCGATGTTTTAAATAAAAGTAATCATCACACCATTTTTTGAAACGTGGATAAAATGATTCATGATGTTTATCACAGGCTAGTTTAAGTTGTTCATGAAAGTGTTTAGCATCTTCATCGAATAGATAATATGGTGTTAAATCAGCACCACCACCATACCACCATGATTTACGATTATTACCCATATCCACTTCAAAATAACGAAAATTAAAATGCGTCGTCGGTACATAAGGGTTAAGCTAAAATCATATCAAAAGCATAAATAGTAAATATGCTCGTTGGTAAGGTGAAAGATAATATAAAATAAAGTTGAAAAGTTGCTCACTGGCATTAGTAACATTTAAAATACTCTATTAGCTGACCCACTAGTTCTCAATTTCACTTCAAATATTAAAGGTCTCAAATCAGTAAAAAGGGACATATGATAGGACAACTAATTACACGATGAAATGTGAATCAATCGTGCTGAAATGCAATAAAGTGGGAAAATAAGATGACTGAAGTGTCGTCATTAAAGTAAAATAAACAAAATGTTAGAATATGATAACGGAAAGTGAAATAAGAGAAAAGAAAATAGAACAATACGAAATAAAGAAGTTTTGAGAACCATATGGTAAAACGAAAGAGATCGTACAAATTATCACTGTACACAAAGTTCTGGCTTTATGTGATGTATGGCTAAAGCTTCAGCTATACAAAGCAAATGCACTCATCTGACTCTCAGTAAACTTTATCCGACCTTGTAGACGATGTCAAAGGATGCATCCGAAGCTAAATGGTCATTAGCTACTACAACGTTGCGATGTAGATGAATCAATTTGTGATTTATAATCATCTACACTGATATTACCGCCCTTAGTATTTTCACTCACTATTATATTTTAACAAACACACAGCAAAACTATTGAAGGTTTTATCAATTTTCCATCTGGATAAATTATTTGTCACTGTCAATCAATCATCATCCTCAGTAAAAGACAGTTGGACAGCTAATACTTTTATTACGTGAAAGGTTTGTTTTCAAAAAGAAAAATTTAGACCAGACCATAAGGTCAATTTGTATTTTACTTTGTACAGCGTCAGATCAATCTTGTGTCAATTTGAGTTTTATCAAGACCCAAGTCCTTATTTCAACCTCAAAAATTACCTGACTATATCAACAGCAGTGTTTCACAACAAAACTAGCTTAGATGGTCTCAGGTCAACTACGCAGAACAGATTTTCCATGTACAAGACTAAGAGCAATACGCAAAGAATATGAGCTGATGATACTAACCAGTTGTCCAGACTGAAGTAGGTGGACCGAGACTCAAATCCGTGACCCATCGGTTCACCAAGAACTGAGAGTTATTAAATAATAAATGCGATACCACTTTATTAAAAAATAATTTATATATCTCCCAATATTTAGTCTAAGTAGCTTAAAAAACAATGGAAAAGTCACTTGCTACATGCTTACAAATCAACGTGTGGGCTTTGAGTGTTAAAAGATGTCAGGAGTTGATCATTAAGCTCCACTCCACTTCAGTTTCGTGTTATTAGCACCCATCAGTAAAGTGTATTTGAAACATGAAAAAAAATTTCAATCAATAGACACGTTTAAAATAAATTATGGCAACAGACATTAACAAGATACTGGGAATAACTGAATAAACTTACAGGATGGATAACTGAACTAATGCCACAAGCGAAAAATTTGCAATCTGAGTCTGGATCAATATCTTTATGTCTACACCATTTTTAAAGATAAAAACACAAAATGAGATAGCCAAGAAGTAAATACTCACATAAGATTTCATAATCTATGAGTATCATTTTATTTTATTTTTTTTATCTACACCGGAACACACAATAAGTTGTGATTATAGCATATAACTCATAAGACCATTTTCATTTAACGTTGGAAAATGGAAAATCCCGAAGGTGACTGATGAATATGATTACATAGTTTTAAACACAAAACCATTTTATCAATCTTTGTCGGACTTTTGAAATACTAACTACATATTTCAACCAACTCTTAGTTTAAGAACATGGATTAAAGTGTGAATGGAAAGTTTAAATAAATTTCATTGACTGGCTGATGAGGAGGAATACAAAGAGTTTACTTTAGAATCGACATTTCATTTAACTTCTTGTGACTCATTGGCTTCAGTACTCCGTTTTCAGACAACAAGTTATAGGCTTAAGTCCTGCTCCACCAACTTTAGCCTAGACAACTGAATAATATGATCAGCCCTCACATGATAAGTGTCTCTTAGGCTGGTACATTAAAAATCTGTTCCGAGAAACTGAGTCAAAATGTCAGTCTAGGACAAGTGAGATAATTCAATTAATAATCAAGAGTCGCGTAAGAAGACAACTGCACGCTTTAAATCTTAGGTGACATAATAACAACGCACCACTTTATCAGTTTGTGAAACCGATGGATTTCAATAAACTATATTAAGCGAACACTTGGAAACTGAAGACAAAAGCTATTTTACGATACCGTCTCCCTCCTCCACCTTATCAGTCACAGAGGTACACCAATAATCAGAGACTTCATTCATTCCTAATGTTTAAATAAAAAGGTTATTTTAAGGGGAGATGAAAATAACCCAAAACACAATGACCAATCTTAATTTATCTCAATTTGCGAAAGACTAGCACAATTTATTGGAACATAATAAGTTACCTCCAAAGACGACAAAAACAGACACCAATATACAGTAAAACAGACAGGAAACGCCTTCGGTTTATCTCCGGTAAAGGTGTGGCTCACTGGCCTAAGTAACGAGATTCACACACTACTCCACCTGATAAGGCCTAAGTGACTAGGTACAACGTATAGCTCACAGCTTACTACATCAACCTGTACCAAGACGCTGAATCAAATTTTCAATGAAAATCCAGATATTTAAATCAGCTAATACCACATTTGGACTAACCTTGCACGCATTTCCTTCACAGCCATTGGACTGAGGTTCCCACTTATAACGCTTATGTTTACACCAGCCTTTTCAAAGACTTCACCGTTTTCTAAAATGCAAGAAATTCCGCCGCCACCCTATAATGCAATCATGATAGAGATAACGACAACTGTAAGGAAAGTCATTTTCAAACATAGTGATTAATTCAAAATTAGCATAAAGCCAGGTGTTCAACAGTGGTTCATAGACGATGTCTTTTCATTATGGTCGCACACCTACATCTTATGTACAGATCGAGGACAAATAACAAGATCAACTCCACTAATGCATTTATATACTTAAATACCACTAATTAAATCTTCAGTTAAATATAATTATAGGAAACATTTCAGTACAATTACATGAAATATATTACAAAGCAACTTATACATGTTCATTACGGCTACTGATCACATTTACTGTGTAATTGCTAGCCAAAAATATAATATCTTGTTAGATGGGAGCAGTGAACTCAAACCCACAGGTCCCAACCTTATTAATAAAAGGGAACTGCAGATTCTCTATATAGAAATAATAGAGAAGATTTGTAGCTCATGTGGGTGATTTTGGCGCTGTGTTCTTTGGGCTAGATAGTTTAGCTGCCAAGCTTCCATTGCCTTAGTAGACAACATCTTCACAGCATACTTCAAAGAAAACTGCACCAAGATTCCGTACAATCAAATTTGCCTGTTACCATCCAATCAGATAGGCAGACCACCCGTAAATGTATCCAGGGGATAAAACCGACCAATGTTAGCAGGCAGAAGTCACCAACAGTGCTCTCCAGTCACACCTAAGTGATCTAAACATCGAACAGTCGCTTTATTCGTTTGGAGCTGAGTTTATGGAAAGTTTCTAAAGAAAAATGTAGTGAAATTCCACCTTGGGGTGTGCACTCCGCAAAATAAGATCATTGAAAGTATTTGAAACACTCCTAGACAGAAACAAAATTTATTCCTATAGCACAATTTAGTGACGTAACTAAAACACAAGTCCCACTTATTGTGTGGTGGGTTAAGTTTGATGACTCAAACGAGTAGGAGCTTATGACACTGTCCAGCTACCAACAATATGAGTTAATTTCTTTTTTATTGGGTCGATGATCACTCGCATCTCCATGCGCTTGGGGATGAGCGACAGTTGTTGTATTAGTACTAACGATACTACTTGACTGTCCAAACCTCAGTGTGTGGCGAAGGGTTCAAACTCATGACCCAGTGGTTTACAATTCAGAGCCGAGACTAGTGAGCCACAACTCCTCTCACTGCTAAACGAAAGACAAAATGGATTACATCTTGTGACACCACATAAAGCAATAATAATCTGTTTGAAGTCAGTCAGGTCTACTTTGTATGAAGATATCAAATTCAGATGATTACAACCAAAAGTACAAAACGATACCGCTAGAGACGGATAGCTATAGAGCTAGCTAATGTGTAGTTTTCACGGTTGACTGATTCAAAATCTTCTTCCTACGAACAAAAAGATGGTGTAAATAGAATGCGGTTCAATTAAGTGGAACACCTTACTGACGACACACCTGTACTAACAAGCAGTACCTCCAACGTAATGCAAGCTATTTACGTCAGTACTGTACCTACATTTAGCCTTACTGCCGCCTAAACAACCCTTTTAAAAAAGCAGGTCCACAGGTAAAGACCGTTTTAGAAATCATAATATGAAAGCCTTTTCAAAGCGTGGAGGTGGCAGTTATCCGTCACAACAACCAATGGTAATACTTGACCCCTCAAACATCGGTAGGCAGAAAGGAATTTAACATGACATATGAACAGACAGAACACAAAACATTTTTTGAAAATAAACCGACCCACCACCTAGGTAAAACAATTTATAAAATTAACTTCAAAGACTTAAAAATACTACGCCCATCAATCCACACGTCAGATGACCCAAAGAATTTATGACCGTCAGCAGACAAAAAATTACACTGGTCTTAAAAAGTTTCCAAAACGCAGGCTTCGAGAAAGGTCCGCCAAAGCCGAGCATTCACAATTTACGACTGCATAAAAGATATGTGGATGACATGTTCATTATTTGTGACAACAGTAATGACCCTCAATCTACTGCTACAGACATTTAACCGTTGCCAACCAGCAATAAAATCACTCTTGAAATGAGAAACGAATCAAAATTTCCCTTACTTGATGTGGAATTAACAAGAAGAACTTATGGGACACTAGGAGGATCGATCCATAGAAAAGCAACTTGAAATGGTTAATTAACAAGCTGCTATAGCTGGGCAAAAGCAGAATTTAATTAAATCCGTTTCCATCCTCATCCAACGCATCTGTAGTCTCGATGTTTTAGAAACAGAATTAGATATTCTGAGGGAAATCTTCATCCAAAATGGATAGCCACCAAGATTCATTGATAAAAATATCAAACCAAGAATTTGGAGGAATTAAACTTCAATTGAACCTAAAAAGAGACTCTACATGAACTTGGATTTCAAGGGAGATTTAACAAGCGATATTCTGAAGAGAAGGATCGCATCATTTCTGAGAACATTCTTTGCTGCAACGCTAAGAACACTATGTTCTGCAGTCGCCCGCTGATCTGCAGAAGCCTTAAGGAAAAGATCCTACATCTGACCATTAGTATGTGCATATATCAGTTCACCTGCTGCTGTGGAGCCAGGTACATCGGTCATTCGACGCGCATCCTGTTCAAGAGGATTCAAGAACACTATCCGGCATGGTTGCGAAAAGGCAATGATGATGCTATAAGGTATGCGATAATTGAACACCTGGTTAACAATAATCATTCCATCCCAACAAATGCCTCCTTCAAAGTAATCTGCTACCTTGACGTGGTGGTCGGGCTTGAACACCGCAATGACCTAATCAAGCTATACTGGCTGAGACTTATGTCTCTTGAGGTTCTACCATGCCAGGCAGGTTGTTTGGATAGCGGTTAAACAAAAAGCAGCTACCCAATCCAACATCATGTCCAATACAAAATTACAAAATTTCATGCCGGATCGGCCGTGGCCCGGATTAACAACGACCGCGCTTCCTGCTGCCGTGTCACAGGGCGGGAGTGATAAATCTGCTACTGAGACACACCAAACAAAAAAGAACGAACAAAAACAGGCCGCGTGTGACCGGCCTCAAGCAGTTGTCCCCTGGGCTCTGCGGTCACGCAACCAACTTCCACGGTGTGGGCAGCCGGGAAGTAACAATCGCCCTCACAATCCGAAATGCACACGAAACCTCTCTATTACTCACTCATCTTTGTCTTCATCTTCATCTCTATCATCTTGCCTTCCTTCCACTGATGCAACTCCTCGACTTGATAGCTCTCCACTTCCTCTCCACTCTGCGTCCACTAAAAACGATGGAAGCCAAAAAACCACCACCGACAGCCTCTTAAAGCCGCGCCACCAATTTCATATAGGAGCTCTTAATGTTAGGACACTTTGCCAAATAGGACAACAAGCATCACTAGCCAAGACCCTGGCATCACGAGCCATTGATGTATGCTGTGTTTCAGAAACACGCATACAAGACCCAAGTGTGGTTATTCACCTAACCCCACCTGGCCAACAGGTTGAATCTGCAAAATTCACCTTGAGGGTGTCAGGAGATGCCACAGCTAGTTCACGAGGATTAGCTGGCGTAGGGATAGCTTTGAGTACTAGGGCAGAAAAGACATTGCTTGACTGGATCCCGGTAGATAGCCGAATGTGTGCTGTCCGCCTGAACGGATCAGTAAGAAGGAGGAAGGACTGCACTACTCGCCGATGCCTTTTCGTAATCTCCGCCTACGCCCCCACTGACTGCAGTTCAGATGAAACGAAGGATGAGTTCTACCAAAAGCTGTCTAGTTTGGTGGAAAGGCTAAACGCTCAGACATAGTCGTTCTAGCTGGTGACTTTAACGCTCAAGTAGGGAAATTGTGTCAATCTGAGAAGGATGTCGGTGGCACCTATGGAGTTCCGTGCCAGCGAACCGACAACGGTGACCGTCTCCTACAGTTCTGCTCTGATAATCATTTGTTTCTTGTAAGCACTAACTTTAAACACAAGGAGAGACACTGTTTGACTTGGAGACCCCCTTCATCAAACCAACGCTGGACACAAATAGACCACATAGCAATAAGCTATCGTTGGCGTGGGTCGGTAGGAGATTGTCGCTCCTTCTGGAACACGTGCGTAGATACCGACCATGCACTGGTCCGCGCTCGGGTGTGCTTACGACTGAACGGACGTAGGAAACAGCTGGCGGTAAAACCATCACGTCCCCAGCTCGATCAGGAAACTAAATCCGTATTTCAGGAAGAACTAGCTAAACACATATCTGTGTTCGACAGCTGTGCTCACCCTGAAGAAGCTTGGAAAAATATCCAGGCAGCCATAGATACAGCTGTAAAAGCTGTGAATAAGGTAAACCCAAAGGTGAGTAAAAACCACTGGATCTCCACCGCCTCATCCGAACTGATAGATGCTAGAAGACTTATTCCGGCGAGCTCCGAATTCAATGAGGAGCGAAAGCTGCACAAGAGGAAACTTACGAAAAGTCTCCGCAAGGACCGTGAACAGTGGTGGGCGACAAAAGCCAAAGAGATGGAGAAAGCTTGAGGATAGGCAACACCAGGCAACTCTTTGGACTCATCAGGGAAACGGGTGGGAGAAGACAAATCATTAGTGAGACAATCTCGGAAAAAAATGGCACTATAATTAGCTCCAGGATAGACGACTGGATCGTTGGAAAGAGCATTATGAGGAGCAGTTTAATTTGCCCACAGCCACGCTCAACCTTCCGAGCATCCAACACCTCCCTGAATGGGATATAGACACAGGTCCTCCGTCACTAACTGAGGTTACTAAAGCTGTCACCAATCTGAAACTAGGCAAAGCAGCGGGACCTGATGGAATGACTCCAGAGGTATTTAAGTACGGTGGAGACAGCTTACTGTCCGGATTAACTGAGGTACTAGGCAGCGTCTGGGAATCAGAAGAAGTCCCATCGGGTTGGTGTAAGTCACTGATTATCCCCATATACAAGAAGGGAGACAAGTCTTCCTGTGATAATCACAGAGGGATTAGCTTGACTAATATAGTATCTAAAGTCTTAGGCTCAATAATCATGCGTAGACTGAGTGGTGCTCGGGAAGCACAAACACGAGAGAGCCAGGCAGGCTTTAGACCAGGAAGAGGGTGTATTGATCATATCTTCACCCTCCGACAGATTCTAGAACATAGGCATTCCTACCGGCGTCCAACAGTCATTATATTTCTTGACCTAAAGGCAGCATTCGACTCTGTCGATCGGGAAGTTCTCTGGAGATGCTTGGCTGTAAAGGGAATTCCAAGAAAATATATTGCACTGATTAAGGCACTCTACTCGTACTCATACAGCCAGGTGAGGGCTTACGGCGAGCTGTCATCTGAACTGATGACGACCAGTGGTGTCCGTCAAGGATGCCCATTATCTCCTTTTCTATTCAACTTCATCATAGATGTGTTAATGGACTTAACCCTAGGTGACTTCAGCGACTCAGGGATTGACTTGCTACCGGGGAATAATCTCGTTGACTTGGAATATGCAGACGATATAGTCCTTCTAGGCGAAGACGCTGACGAAATGCAGAGTCTTCTAAACACCTTGAGCCGCAATCTACGAATGTTTGGCATGCGATTCGCTCCCGCCAAATGCAAGATGATGTTACAGGACTGGACTACATCGACGCCTAGTTTAAAAATAGGAAGTGAAGTGGTAGAGCACGTTGACCGCTTCACTTATTTGGGAAGTACCATCAGCCCCAACGGGCTGATCTCTGACGAAATCTCAGCACGAATACAAGGGGCTCGTTTCGCATTTGTTAGTTTACGCCGACTCTGGCGTAGACGAGATGTTCGACTATCGACCAAAGGGCGGGTGTACTGCTCATCAGTCCGCTCCGTCCTCCTTTATGGTTGTGAGACCTGGCCACTGAGAGTGGAAGACATGAAAAGACTAGCTGTCTTTGATCATAGGTGCCTGCGTTCTATTTCCCGTGTAAAGTGGCATAATAAGGTGAGCAACATGGAGGTTAGGCGTAGAGTTCTAGGTAAACAGGGGAAATCAATCGACGAAGTCGTGAAGCTACAAAGACTGAGATGGTTAGGACATGTGTTACGTATGCCAAGCCATCGCCTCCCTCGACGAGCAATGTTAGCGGATATAGGGTCAGGCTGGAAAAAAGCTAGCGGCGGTCAAACAAAAACTTGGCATCAGTCAATGAAATCCACAACAGTTGGTCTAAGCCACGTAGGAAGGTGTAGACTTCCAGGCTGGGGTCCTCGGGACGGTAAAAATCTATGGTTGGAAACAATTGGTGACATGGCTCAAAATCGTTCTCAGTGGCGCAGATGCATCCACTCCCTGTGACTTATGATCTTCAATGAAACTGTTTTGTATTTCTTTATTACTCCTTTGTCTCACACCTCTGCTCACTGTTTCTATTATGCTTTTCTTGTACTTTCTTCTCTTGCTTCGCGTGCTACACGGAATGTGGCGACTTGAACTTCCGCACATTTGTGCAAAGTTCTATGTCGAAAACAGACAGACAGACAGACAACTACAGAGTCGCGAATAACCTACCGAAAACAATACGGTTGTCTTCTTTGTATCGCTGAAGATCTGGCCATTCACACAGAAAAACCGGAGCTGTGCATACAAAAGAGAATTATTCAACCACTTCTACTATTATGGCAACAACTTTGTTGACTTTTGATGACTTGATTTTGTTTGTTTGCTCGTTTCCCTAATTGCTTATAATTCTTGGATTCATTACAACTCTTACGTAATTTTGTATTCTCTACTTTGCTTTTATGTGCATCCTGATTACAACTCAATCATCAAACTATTCATATTATTAAGTAACCCATTTTTAACAACTGTTTGTGACAACTCATCACCATTGTTACTACCCTAGTTTCATTAACACCCAATTTTCTCGACCATTTTTGAATTAAGTAACTCCACCCAAAACTTAATAATTCTCACCTGTTTAGATGAAATAATCATAACCAATTGTATTTTTTTGACAAACTTAATGTACACATGCCTACAAAATAACCCATATATATTTACGATTGTACAGCTAAGGAAATGAATTCACCGAAAAGAGAATCTTCGCTGAACCACGTGTTTTCTTTTCATTAATCCTGAGATAAGGATATTTCATGAATCATAATTTTTTGTCTTGAAGTAGTATAGTGTGAGCCCATACAAACAGCATAAAATGTTGCCCTTAACTCTCAAAAAATAACAATCAACAAGCATATCAACACAAACCCAGTAATACACAAATATCATTATCGACACATTAAATCAAGGGAGAAAGCCCCACGTTCATACTATAAACACTTCATTCTCTTTGTACTAAGTTACAAAGAGTAGGGTAACAAGGGTTAACATATGACAGGAAAGCTAACATTGTTCATGACCTAATAAAATTAATGACAAAATCTTCTATAATAAACATTCACACCAAATGAAAATATCATTATTAAAAAGTGTTACAAAATCAGGTAGTCAGACGGTGAAGCACCTCCGTGACTGAATGCCAATTAAAGACAGGGTAAAGTAAAACTAAATCAACTTAAAATCAATAGTTTCACGTCTGCTTAGAGTTATACACTTCATATATGTATGCAAACAAACCTGTTACATAACCGTATCTACTGACAAATACATTCGAACACCTTTGTCCAACTAAACGTTGGAATTGTTTATTTTGATAACGTTGAGCTTTATACAAATATAACTTTATATGTATATACTCATTCCGTACCCAATTTCCGTATAACTACTAAGTCAAATCTCACTCAATAAGAATGAAACATACATATAAAACGCGAGAAAGTATAGCATAGCTCCTAAAGAGTATATTAGCAACTTCTCACTCAAAATATGGATAAAGTTTGGTCAGAGTATGCAAAAATTCCACAGACACTGCATTCACGGAGGATATTTGGAGACTATCGGCAGCGAACGCTAGACTCAGATCTCATGTTTACAGGCGTTTGTTACAAGGCGTAGGTGCAACGTCGAAGAAATGCACTCCCCTACAGTGAAACTATCTCACTTAGTATTGCAGTCAGACGTTACGAACGAACTATTCTCGCAGCGATTAGTCTCTAGAAGAACTATAATGGGCAAGCTGGTCAATTACCAGAGTAACCAATATCACATTCTCTACAATTCTGTGCTGATCAAATTCCCTCAGGTAAGTTTTCAATGTGATCACCAAGGTGCGTTACTTCCTATTGAGGCACACTTTGAATAGACAACAAACAATATATGATACGTTAGATCTCCAAAACATGAGAAATCGAAACTGAGAGAGAATATACTACTGATTATTCGACTTACGGCACGACGATCCCATTTATCCACGCGGAACTTAGCCTTCCCATCAATTCTTTCAATTTGTTTACACAAGTGACCCTTTAAACACAAAGTGAAAAACAATGCACGCTATCAAACACAACGAAGTCTTCAAGATAAATAAATCTCTATTAACAGAATGTTTTAAGAGAAGTCTAAGTGACTAGTCCGAGATACCAAGAACAGAACGTGAAGCCATCGACTGTTGCTCGGAGGCGTACAGGGCAGTGTAGATTTTCTAACTACAGTTTACGAGGTGAACGAAGTTATAACTAGGACCAGTATGAGAAATAGCAACTAGCCAATAGTCACACAGTGTTAGAATGTAGCAATAAGCCATAAAGTTATAAAAAAAATTGGATTTTCAACGCAGATGGTTAGCCCAAAAAGCTGTCTTGTAAAGAAAGGAGCGATCTGAAATTATTTATGTCTTGGATAAATATTCAGAAAATTGACTGCCGATATGTTGAGTTGAGGCACTTGTACAAAGTCTTACGCTAGTAATTCAATCCAGTTCAGATATATTATTAGTCATTCTAGCTGTGACTAGAAAAAGACCGAGCATCTCCAATTAAACCACCAAGTATAAGATTCCTTTATATAATGGTCGAGTTACACAGGCTATTAGGTTATCCATTAGAAACAACCTATACATCAGGCCTTAGCTGTTTGAGATTTTTTCTTGGTTAATTTGCTTTCAACTCAATGTCTATCACAATACTTCGCACTTCAAAGTAAGATTTTCACACAGCAGTAGAAATGAAATAAAATCCTTCTTGTGTGGATTCTCCCTCAGTCTTGGCCTGGGTAGAATATATTATTTCGATACACAAGTATATTACATCATGGGCATTTATATACCACATGAGAGACTGGCTACTTCGGTAACAATTGTGAGCTAAAGCCTTGAGTGACTTTGGATTTAAACAGGATAATACCTTTAAGCTATTTACTGTTAAAAACATATCTTAACAGTGATAATATGAGAATTTGTTTTCGCAGCTTAAGACTTAAAGGACCCTGGTATGGAGTATCAAAATGATAAGTTCCTTATGACTAATACCACGGCCCTGCCTTTGTTGATTGTAACACTTGACTTTTCTCACAAAAAACTAACATATCAATAACCTAAACAAAAATCGAACTTCACTGTACGAACAGGTGAGTCATCGCAGAAATTCGCATACATGTGCATCTTTTCAAATTGCAAGATTCCAAAAGAGCAGACAGACAAGAGAAGATAAATTTTATGGAACGACAATGGACTTAGTACTTATAAGTAACTAACTAGTCAGAATTTTCAGTGAGGAGACATGTTGTGAAATATACAGAATTACCTCCCTAACCATCTCCGGCTATTAGATTTTAGCATTATGAAGTCCCGACAATCTTTGGTGTCAACAATCAGACAGAAGTGAAGCCTTACGCATGGTATCGTGCCAGATCATATGATTGCTTCATTTGTGGAGTACGAAACACTGCCCTCCGAGTACGATTTTTTAGCACTAACTGAATTAATAAAGAATGCACTATTAATCTTAAGTATTATCAGTTAATTCAGTACGAGGTGCTATTTTTCAGCACTGAAGAGATTCCAATATCCAATATCATACACTACAATTAAACCAAACAGTAAACTATTATTTTTTGTCCGACATTCAACACTTTTTAAATCCGATTTATTTACCTGAAGCTCCATACACAACATCTCCATTTTTGTTCGATAGCACTCATCATTAATCTGTGAAATATAACAAAAAGTGAAAATTACCTTTAACTGATCTATTGATGAAACTGGTGAAGACATCCAATCATTGAGGTTTATCTCAGAAAACTTTGTAAGCAATGGAACAGTGCTGCAGGAAACGACGATGGATTTATTTATTATTCGTAAGCCATTCATTTTGGTAACAGCCCAACCTCCTCCAGTAACAAAGGCTGATGCACTATTATGCAGAGAAATTCAGAACGGAAACCTTAATTACCCTAATATACACGCAAAACCCTTGAAACAACGCTGGTTACAAAACTGTCGTAATGTGTGCATAATTGTTACGTTCCACTCAAATCAGTCGGGTATCATGATATCCAAAGTCCAATATGGTTGTTACGGTCCTTGGTAAAAGAGACAGTAGTCTAACCAGCCTGTTATTATCCCTGAAAGATTCCTTCATCGGGCATACATTGACCGAAGTGAATAATAGTATCCGAAAAAACCATCGATCACTTTAACGAAAATGGTAACTACTCAGTAATTTAACCAGGATCTTTTATCTTTGTGTGATCAGTAACAAAACAATCATTTTTCGAGGCATTAAATGTTGCAAACAAGCTGACGCGTGAGTCTCCTTTCCATATGTCGAACACTGGCATTATTCCTTTTCCGGCATCCAGTAACTTTATTGACGAGATCGTTGGATTACGTTTCCTCGTTGACAAACTATAACCTGTTGGTTTCTAAGGTGGCATGACACTGATGTTAAGGCAGTCCCCCTACATGGTTCAGAGAATTGGCGTTTTGCCAGAAAGATTCCTAGCAGGCTACTGCAGACCTTCATCAACCTCTGCCTGTGCTCCATAGTAAAGATCAAATGGCCATAAATTTCTAACCAACAAATAGCCTACTGCCTAAAATATATGCCCAAAAAAATGGAAGCAGAGGGTAAAATCTCATGTAGACCGGTGGATGATATCTCGCATTAGGCTGCTAAGTTGAACCAGATTAGGGAACGACGGGTTGGGCGTCTGAGGTTGACATTGAGGAGATCCTGCGAAGAGGAAGGAATGTTGGGAATGAAATGAGGATATGCTGCTGAAGCTCTACGTTCGACCTGGCACCTAAAGGGATAATAAGAATTACCTATTAGTCAGAGTACAGCACATACGAGTGCTGCTTTACACAAAGTCAAACCCTGGCAGATCTTCACCATGCGTTGACACTCTGATTCACTTAAAACAGGATCTGACTTTTATTGCATCCTTCACAGACGGTAAAACAGAGCTCTAAACATGAAATTTCACATTCATTATATCCTGGTTCTCCACTTGGCTATTTCCCTAAAGTCTTCTGAGATAAATCGGTAAATACATGTTCACTGTCCAAGCCTTCACAAAATCCTACCTTGCCAACGTGATAATCGTATCAGCCATTTACACGGTCAGTCTTTATCCTTCTCTGCCTTCTCCCAGATGGACTGTATCAGGATTACCTGAGGAAGGGGAGGTTTAAGCAAGAACTCTAAATGAACCAGTATTCTGATTGATGAAAGAAACATGTAATCAAGAGAAGCAAGGTCACACAGAGCTTACGCAACCCCCTGGTTTTCAAATTGGTCCTACTAGCCCTAAACTATCCTCACCGGAAGTTGGTGAGGAGAGGGTAAACCACAGCTGATAGCTAAGTTCATCGTTTTCTGAGGTGGAAGAAGTTAGTCGTACTTTTATTAGAAAACTTCTGATATCCTTTCGTATAAAGTCAACTAAGCTAGCCTCGGATTATGTATATATATATATTATATATATATATATATATATATATATATATATATACATGTATATTTACATATATGATATATTTTGTCTAGTCGCCTCATACTTCTCACAGGCACATATCAGTCTTTTCTTCTGATTTTTCAGTTAGCTCATATAAGCAGAGGGTATTAGAAGAAGAACAGTCATGTTCTGTATTCTGTTGAGTCGTCTATTGCATTTCATTATCGAAACCGAGTCAGAGCATTATTCACCGCAGCTGTATTATTTTGGCAACAACAAAGTCATCTGGTTTAAAATTTCTATTCCTTTCAAATTTTTTTAATACATTTTTCTACTGCAGCAAGCTTGCAATCAAGCAGTCTGAATCAAGCCAGCTGATGCTCACCCAAAACACCTCAGTGGAGTACTTTCAACATCCCATCCAGTTGTCTTTTAATGATAGAGTCAGTATTTTTCATAAATATTTAGTAAGCCCCCATCTCTGTTTTATTGTCCATGCCAGTGTCCTCAGTTGCCTGAATCACCTTCCGATGGGCGCTCCAGTATTGCGAAATTCAAATCTCATGGAATGAAGAGCGATCATCTTATATTTCTGACTTCTATCTGTGATTTGAAGAACCCTTAAATTATAATTATCTGCACCAGAATTTCGTCAAGCATAGAAAAACATCCGAGAATGTCTTTGTAGATGACAACTCCTGCTCGACTAGGGATACAATATCGTAAAGAACATATCTCAGCTACCTGGCAGGGGTGAGAGCCAGAATAGGAGAAGCCTAGAAAGCTTCATTCACCATACGGGAGGTATTGGTTCGCTATGAGTTTTTCATATGTGGATCACACTCATATTTATTGTGAGCCTTCCATTCTCTATAGACCGTTGATAATGGCTAACAACCTTCCGATAACTTCAGCAACACTGATCCCTTCTCTTGTTCAGCAGCAAATTAACAATGAGCACTTGCAAATAAAATTACTATCTCTTTGATTGTGGCTATCTATTTTGCTGAAAGTTTGATATAACGCCATTGTCCAGTCAACCGGTTCAACTACCGCATTCAAAACCATTCAATGATATGTCGACTAGGCCTTGAATAACAGCATGTTTATTGACTGATACAGTGATGAAATTGTAATAGAAGAATACTGACAACAGCTAGACATATTCTGAGTGTTATAAGATTTGATAGTGTGAAATATTCCCATATTATGACTTTTAATTCATAATATTCTGAGGGATTTGGGCTATATGTAACTACCATAATCTTGACATACGTCAATTTCGCTAGAAATATTCGAAACTTTTGGGGCAACATGTTGTCAATGAGCGGTTTGCATGCACTACCTGGTTTTTAAGTCACGTTAGGTTACTCACTTCCAGGGTGTCTTTTAGGCAACTAAGATTACTTCCTGATTATAGTAGTTTATACCGCCGCCATATCCTAAACTGTGCTGAGATTGTTCAACCATCGGCCGACTGATTACGAAAGAGTTCTCCGCCTTTTCATTTTTTCCTGAGGCCATTGAATGATTTCCAAAGCCACGCAATTGTTTATCGAAATGACGCCACTCAACAGAAGAGATACCAAGGAATAAGTGTTAGTTGTTGATTTCGGACTAATCTTAGAACGAGAGTCAAAGGGATAATTTTAGACATAGTCATACTTCACGGAAAACCATATTCTTTCAAGGTGCGATCGCATAGCACACGCAAAAAGTTAGTTACTGCATTTACACCAGCAAAATATTACACGAAGGCTGTTGATGGTCTTAAGTACCTTATCAACAAATCACTTGTGGATTGCAATCCCAATTATTATTAGAAATTAAAGCATCATTTATAATAGTTTTCCACATAAATTTAGGCCTCTGAAGTAAACAACAAGCCTTCTTCGCAGACTTTACCACACCTCAGCAATTATACCATGTTTTAGTCGTCGAAGCGTTTGCCTTTTCTGACTCTTAAAACGTTATTAGTAGTAGTGTTTCGATGGAAATCAGGTTTATTCAGCTGAACTCAGCGCTGAATATAAAGCAATTGCTACATTAAAGTCTTCACCAACACAGGTTCAGCGCTGTTACGTAATTCTTCCTGGCGTGCAAGCCTTCATACTTAACAGCTTCAAGCATTTAACTACCGCTGTTTCGGCGAATTGTTTCATTGTTAACTGGTCGAAGTGATTATATGGGTAAGTGTTAATGCCATGAACGTCAATGTAAACAGTTTGTGAGTTTTTCAGTGCAGTATACACTTGTGAAACTCAAAAAGTCAGTGGTGGTATTAGTATTAACTTAAGGTGCCACTCAAATGTGTTCTTGCTATGGAAAGATAGGAAACACGAAAATAAACGCCGACAGAATGGGTAGAAAAAATTAACAATATCACCTCGAGTATTCAGATTATTAAACAATGCTGATAAGTGATTCGGGAATACAGGGAATTGCAAGTAGACTACTCTGCGTAGTCAGAATTGCCATGAAATGTAAGTGAAGACGATATCTAAGCAATTCATTTGGAATTAAGTTTTCAGGTGCTTAATTATTGCAATGATAGGTAAAGATGATAAGTTGATCGGTGTGCTCCACAGATAAACGGGCATTCGGGCTGCCTGGCTGCACCAGAGAAACAGCTAGAATAATTGATTTCGGTAAAATTGAGTGCTGTTGCACTATGAAATCCTCAAGACCCTGGAACACCTACCGCATTTTGTGAATCAGTAAAAGAAAGCTGAAAAAGGCCACACGCTGATCCACATGTGGTCTTTATTCTTAATAGACAAGTGATAGTTATCAAACCAGCAGGTCAACCGCCATCATATCTTTGAGAAGGAAATGTGGACCGAAAAAATTCTAATTTTCCCGTAGGGACTAATAATATCAGAGAACTGACGGTTTAACAGGTTCAGTGTGGGGGTCGCAATAGGATAGACCAATGCATTCCGCTCGGCAAGCAGATATAAAGGCGGTAATTGATGGATGAAATACTGAATCAATGCACATGGGTATAGTTGTCATTAGTCCATGAGAGCTCATCAGCATTTGCATACTACTTAAACTTGATGTTTTTCTGATGGATTTGAGCCCTGAAATCATATTTTTTGACAAACTGAAGTCCTTTCTATTTAGAGCAGATACTACATGAAATTATCAACCGTGCTCGTGCTTTCAGCCACGAAAGTTCAACTCCGGACTCGATATACCATTGAATTGAGTAATGAACTCATACCTAATAGCGAACATGTGATTCTCATTACTAGGCGCGTACATAACAGAAATGTGAGAGTTAACCACTTTGCCACTTTTGCAGTGGTTTGTCTGTCTACTAATGCCTGCAGCTATTAAATGGGCCACATGATTTTATATGATACGCTCTAATGATCGCGTATTATGGTGATGAAGTGGTGGGGTCACTGTTTTCATTATAGCCATCACGAACGCTGTTAAACAAGATAAAAACGAAATAAGTTGAGCTGACCGGTTGCCTGTATATGACTGACAGGCTAGCTATGGTGAGATAATACGTGAATTCACATTTCGGCTATTTTTATTTATTAT